GAAAGAAACGTAGGGGTAGAGCCTTTTTTTTTTTTTTTTTTTTTTAAGTAGGGGTATTTCATCAATTTACATTCAAATTAATTTACATTTTTGTCTTCTAATCCTACAGTGTAAAATCATAATCCTTTGATCCTTTTTTGTAAAAAAATTGCTTTCTAGGTCCTCTATTTTGAGATTCCCTATTTAAAAATAATTTATAAATAAGATACAACTTATTCATTACAGATCCCAACATATGTTATTAGTAACTTATTCATGTTTTACAAAGAATATTAGTTAAAACCTTATTTCCTTCAAAATGTTCACATCTTTACATTTTTGCACTTGGGTTTTTCTATAACACGTGTATGATCTTTAAATATAAATTATTTAAAAACAAAGAATATTAAAAAGCAAGGATATAAATGTTAAAAAACATATAAAATTTACTCAACATCCTGTATTTTTGTCTAAGGAGTTGTTTTAAAAAATGACTTATATTATATTTCGGAGCATGTATATACTTAACTTTATATATTTAATATACTTATATCTAATTAAGTCATAACAAGTGAATCTTAATGTATTAATTAAATTAATAACACGAATTTATTATATAATAAATAATATATAAAATATTCACATGTATTGATTTAATTAAAAACAAGCATATTAAGTATATAAGGTTAAGCATAAGTTTTTCCCTTATTAATACCACTAAAATGAATATTTTTCCTTTAAGGTTAGCTTAAGATGTCTTTGACTTAAACTCAAACTGAGTTTTGGGTCTCAAAACTGGAGTTAGACCATTTTAATCTTATTTGAAATAAATAAGTTGATGGGAAATGGCTTTTAGCTCAAAACTAAACTGAGGTTAGGTAATATTATTTCATTTTTGAATATAAAAGAAATTACCATATTTTTTATTTTTATTTATAAGCAAAATTCTAAATTTCAATAAGCAGTTATGACATTTTCCCCAAATCATTCTTCATAAAATCTATGCTTGTTTTCATTAGACAAATTTGTTTTGTTAATTACAAGGATAATTTAATCCAGTTTTTTTTTTTAAATTGGTACGCTTAACTAGCTTTTTTAAATTGTATACATGAATTAGTTATTTTCTCCTATATTTGAAAATGGAGAGAATATGTAAGTACTTATATAAGCATTCCTTGAGTTTGGTGGTATATGCTTTGGCCTTGGTGAGTTTTTAAGATTTAACTCATCTAAATTTTTATATTAAAATGTATAAAATTTCATGAACTTTGAGACAGTTACATATAATTTTTTTATCTTAAAACATTTAAAATTAACTTTTATAATTTTTAATTTTATTTTTCAAAGCTCTCTACCGTCAATTAACTCTATTATGTTATTAATAGAGTTTTTCATGTTATATTAATGAAATACACATGGCATGGTATGTGACATGAAAAAGTATTTTTATTGATTTTTTTACCACAATTTAAGGAGGAGACAAAGTTGTAATTTTTACTTTTAACATGGATGACAATATGATTATTCTTTTAGTTGAGTAATATTATTCTTATTATTTACCATTAACACGGTTTGAGAGAAAAACTATAATTTACTATTATTCTTATCAATTAAATAGCATTTTATAATAAACAAATAAAAAATATACAGAAAATATCATTGATAAGAATTATATAAGTAAAATTCATCTTTTAATATTCACAAAAAAGTTTGTCCTTTAATACGAAAAAACTGTGCACCATTGATAAAAAATGGATAAATAATATAATTTTTACACATTTATTATTTACTTACATAAAATGTCATGTAAGCTTCTTTGTGGCTCCCTCTCTATTTTTTTTAATTTGACATGACAAATTCTATTAATAACATAATAGAGTAATTAATTAATGGTAGGAGGTTTTGGAAAAAAAATTAAAAATTTAGGAGTTAATTTTAAATATTTAAAAGTGAGGGGCATATATGATTATCTTAAAATTCAAGGTGGTTTTTTACATTTTAGTCAACCTTTTATTTATTATATACATACAAAGGATATTTGTTGCTTACTGAGGTCAGGTTGAGTTGTATTAATGTTAGAGCATTTAATGCAATTTAAATTTTTAGCCACGGTTAATTTTTTAAACCTTTTAAAATTTATAAATAATAATTTTTAATTATTTATGAAATCTTTTGTATTTTTAAAATTTTAATTTAAAGTTTAATATTTTATTTCTTTGAAAATCAAATTACGCACAATATATATGTGTGTGTGCATATATTATAAATTCATGTCTTTTCCAGTTATTATATATCAAACTTACTTTTAAATTATATCATCTAAATAAGTTTCAGTTTGTTAAACTGGTTTTTTTTTATTAAAAATATTTTTAATTTATAAGAAATTTATTTTACAAATTTCAATTCATACAAACCCTTTATGTATATGTATTTGGAAAACAATTGAGTTTGGAAATTTAGTCACCAATGCAACACGGGACTAACTTTGTCTCAGCTGTAAAACTACATTTTGAATGGGTTAGCAAACATGCACAATATTACAAGCTATGAGTTCGTTTTAAAATATGCATTATCCGCTTCAATTATCTTTTCTTTTTTCTTTTTAAAAAGAAAAATCATATGCATATATCAATATATGTGAATGTCTCTCTGCATGTTAGAAGTAGTTTTTTTTTTTTTTTTTAGTATGAATGATGAAAAGGTACCACTTTTAATTTCAATGTCGCTGTGCAATGTTAATAATTAATGTGTTATTATCTTAAAGATGGCTGAGTTGTGAATCCTTGCTCTTAATTAAGATACCTTTAATCTCCCTCTTCATTTTTTAATTTTGGTTCTGGTGAGCTATTTTACATGAAAGAACAAAAATTAATTTGATTTAAAACATTAGTTAGTTTTTTTTTTCCCAAATTGACGGTGGTTGTGAATGATTGATTATATTATGTACAATAATAGTGTATTTTGCTTGCATGTAATGATTGAAATGATTACTGATATGTTGCTTGATGCCCTCTTTGCCAACCTTATTGGGATCAATTGCTTGCAGCCAGAGAACACAAGACAAAATAATAATATTTTCAATTATAGAAATAATCAATAAATAAAAATACAAAATTTAGTTTTTATTTATCACGGCTTCAAAATCATTTAATTTTTTATTTTTTTTGGTGGTGTTCAATTGGAAGGGAGGGGAGGAGAGAGATTTTGCACCCCTCTCCTTATTTGGCTTGAAAAATTGGAGGAGAGGAATTTCTTCAAAATTTTTTTCTCTTTTTCCCTCCAAACCCTCCCCTCCAAATTGGGGGGATTGAAAGTGAAGGGGTAAAATTTGTTATACCCTAATAAATATGCTTTGTGTGATAAGTTTAAAAAATGCAGATATATTTTTTCAGTATTTCAACACTAATAAAATTAGGATAAAGTTATTCATATATAATTATTTTTTCACCCTTTTCCTTTTGAACCAAATTATGCAGTATCAAATCTCTCTCCTTTCCTCGAACCAAATATACTCTTAAAGGAAATTGAATCCAATTATCAAGTTTATGTTTTTCATCTGTTCACATTGATTTACACTCATTTATGGTCCTTTTTTCTTAAACAAAAATTGGAACCAAATTAAAATCCAGCATTAAAAAAGGTGAACACTATGATTAATTGCAAAAGTCACCTTTTCATGTATCTTTTTATTTTTGGTATTAATTGCTAAGATGCATTTTCTGTATTCACGTTGAAACTTTTTTTTTAATTACTCACAAAACACTCTTTTCAAAACTATATTTTTATTTCAATTTTAATTTGCATATCCTACACACTAAAATTAAAATAAAAAGGCTCAGAAAGTGAGGTGTTATTTTCCCCATTGTAAATGAAATAGATTCTCATATAAAATTAAATAATCAGATCCGGAAGATTGATATATTCACAAAACATGATATTTGAAAGTCTAAGATCAAAATCAATAATAAGCATCAAATGCACAAAAATAATGTTTTTGTAATTACAGTTTTAAAAAATTAAAAATATATGAAATATATATATATATATATATATAATTAAGTTACTGAAAATCAAACTGATCATTGAATTATAAGACATTGATTTAAGAGTTAATGTTTAAAATCATAATTAAATTAATTGATCAAGATATATTTACTTGTTTAATTGGATGAGTTGACCTGGATTTTTATACTATATATAAAATGCACAAATTGTTGATTGGGACTCTACACAAACAATGATTACATTAGGGATTTGAATCCAATAAATGACCCAAGTCTATTTATTTAATAAGTGTCTCGCATAATATAACAATAACTATTTGATATAATTAAATGGCTGTAAGGTATTTTGTCATATAATATTAAGAAAGTATCAAATCTTAAATTTTTGAATGAGACAATAAATGTGAGTAACGTTTTGATTGTAGGGATATTGTTTTAATTTTTTTTTAAAAATGTATCTGATAAATTTTTAAATATTAATAAAATTCAATAATTGTAAATTGATATTATAGTTACTCACTGGATCCAAATTCTTCTATCCCACGTATATGATAAATATAATCTCTCTTATAGTAAATTTTGTATAAATAAACAAATATTCAATCAAAAGAATCTCGTTAGCGCCAAAAAAAAAAAATCAGAAAGATTAAGCTGGTGAAACAAGCATGAACAAGGCACGGGCAACGTGAAGGAGTGGCGTGTTAGCGAAAGAAACGTAAGCGTTCAGTTAATCCAACTAATTTAGTGTCATATATTCCACGTCATCTTCAGGCTTAATCACCACCGTTCGTTCTTGATCAACGGCTTCCTTTTCTTCCGAGAATGCCCCACGTCGTGTTTGGGTCACCCTCACTGTAAAACGAGTGCATCGTGATCGTCTGGAGAGTGGGCGGTGAAGATTTAAGGATGACACCGAAAGCAACTTTTTCAGTGGGTCCCACACCGTCCAGGAAACGTCATTGGGTTTTCCGTTTTATATTTCCCTCCTCTTTAAATTCTCACCATTTTCTCACTTTCTCTCCCACTTCAACTCTGCTCTGCGATTGCGATTCATTCTGTCTTATAACTATTGGTCAGTATATATTTCTGTTATTTAATTGTTTCTTTCTTCCTTCTCTTTGCTTTTTCCTCCATGATTTTAATTCATTTTGGATAATTCTGGCATTCGATTCATTCTTCTTCTGAAAGAGGAAGGAAAATAGAATTCTGATCCAGTCTGGGTCATGTATGGCTGTGTCCTTTCTCAACAGGCGAATGGAAATGGTGGGAAGGAATAGAAATGCGTATTTGGTGTTGTGTTTGGTTGCATGGCTTTGTGTGGGGCCGGGTGAGTCGGATAATGGGCTTCAAAGGATTGGGCTGAGAAAGATGAAAGTGGGCCGGGCTTTCAATAGGAAGTACGGTCTCCTCAGTAATAACGATGAGGGAGAAAGTGAAATTGTGGGACTCAAGAATTTCTTGGATGCTCAGTATTATGGTGAAATCGCCATTGGTACCCCTCCTCAGAAGTTCGCTGTTCTTTTTGATACTGGCAGCTCTAACACCTGGGTCCCATCCGATAAATGCTTTACCTCTGTGAGTCTCTCCCTCTATAAATACAAACAGGAATGGATTCAGAAAATCTGTGAATTTTATGAAGTTTTTTTTTTAAAAGAAAAAAAAAGAAAAGAAAGTTTTTACTACTTTTTATAAAAAATACATTGAGAAAAATATTAAAAAATAAAAAATTTATAGAAATTCAAGGATCTCAAATTTGGAAGATTTGTTACCTATACTCTCACACACATCGCACATGCTTGGATCCTCAATCAATAACGTGGGCTCCTTCAGTGTACAATGGAATGAATGAGATCAAAAGGTAATTTTTTAATGTCGAATGTTAAGTACCGATTACATCACACAGATATAACACACACACACACACACACACACACTCTTTCATTTTAAATATAAAGTGTTTCCAACTTACCCTGGTTAATTAGGGAATGCAACATCATAAAATAAAACCTACTTTTTTGACATGGGTTCATTGAAAGTTTGAGGAGTGAAAATAGAAAATTATTTGATAATATTGCACAACAACTTATCTTATGGGTATGGATAATGTCTTGTAGAAGACACCTCATAATTTGGAGTAAAGTGTCATGGAGTGATTCGCAAGACACTTAGACACTCTTCATTGAAAGATGTTAAGTAAATCTAATTTGTAAAAAAAAAAAAAAAAGATGCTTGGTTAAGTTGAAGAAACATAAAGCTTAAGAAAAAAATGATAGTTGAGAGAGCTTGAAAAATGTGAGAGTTGTATTGTTTGAGAACTTAAGAATGGAATTTAAGAATGAAAGAAACTCAAAGATGGTTTATAAATGAGGAGGGGTGATATATTTATAGACTTATCCTTGATTCTAGAAAATTCCCACCTCCTTAATGGATAGTGAAGATTAAATTAATTTTACAACTATCATTGATTCTTTAGAATTCTCTCTTAAATATTTACAACAAATATCTAAATATTTATATGGTAATATCTAGAGACTACCTCAGGACATGTTTTGAAACATTTTATAGAATATCCTGAAGTATTATAGAATATTCTAGATATCTCCACATCATTCAATAAGCTTCTAGAACTTTCTAGATTCTTGCAAATTAATCTAGATAATTTTAGATTGTTCTAGATGCTTCTAGAACATTTTGAAACAAGAGATAGGACATCTTAATTTTGATGCAAGGAAAAAAGATTCCTTTCATAGGAGGTGGAGCCCAGCACTGTGTCTATTTGTCTCTAGTTGAATGGATTAGATGGTTAGACAGGATTTTGATTGATATGTGTGTATGGGTGCGTGCTTATGTATGTATGTCTACATATCGTTGAATTCACTTGGCTGGTTCATTCATATGACTTTGAATTTGGGTGCAGATGGCATGCTATGTCCATGCCAAGTACAGGTCTAGACAATCAAGAACATACAGACAAAACGGTTTGTCCTCAAACCTAAAATACCCTGATTCTCTAGACTTCATTTGTTTGGTATTTTTTAAGAATTTGTGGTTTATTGTTATTGCACTTACATAGACAGAGTAATCTTTAGTTATTTGATCGCATCTCCTTTTTGACTAAACCATTAAGTTTATTTAGAATGGCAAGTGAGTTTTTATAGATAGGAATTACACTGTCAAGAAATTTTGAATCGTAAAAGTTGCGACCAGTGCAGTTGTATCTGCAGTCATTTGTAACATGAGACCTGTACATTAATCGGGAGGCCTCATCCAGGTTCTATTAATTTATGAGACCAATTTACAGAGTGGCCTGACTATATATATATATATATATATATATCCAGAAACGGAATAAGTGAAAACAAAACACATCAGATGATCAGATGCAAAAATCAAAGGTATTGCACAATTGCTTCAATTCTAGGTTCTTTGTATTCCGGCATGGTTGTAACTTGGTTTGACACATAACATCTGTTTATTTGGTTTTTATAATTTGGGCCACTGGACATTTTGAAACTTTACAAGGGCTTGTCGCGAATTTTCTCCTTTGCAGGGACTTCTGCTTCAATTCGATATGGTAGTGGATCCATATATGGTTTCTTCAGTTATGACAATGTCCAAGTTGCTGACGTAATTGTAAAGAACCAGGTAATGCCTTTATAAGTACTTTCACTCTTATGTTTTCTCTGCTTTAATATGATTTTTCATCGTACTTTAATTATTACATTGATAAAGTTAACCTTTTGCTTCCAATCAGGAATTCATTGAAGCAACTCAAGAGCCTGGCCTTGCATTTGTGGCGGCCAAGTTCGATGGTTTAGTAGGACTTGGTTTCCAAGAGATATCTGTTGGAAATTCTGTTCCTCTGTGGTGGGTTTCAACACTCGAACTCTTTGCCGAAGTGCAATGGCCTAAAATTGAAACCTGGTTCTTGAAATGGCAGGCTTATGAAACACTTATTTGTTTCAGGTACAATATGATCAATCAAGGTCTGATGAAGGAGCCATTATTTTCGTTCTGGCTCAATCGAAACACAGCGGATGATAGAGGGGGCGAGATTGTCTTTGGTGGCGTTGATCCTGCTCACTTCCAGGGTGAGCACACTTATGTTCCTGTGACGCGAAAAGGCTATTGGCAGGTTAATCATTAGCCCTTCTCTCTCTCTCTCTCTGTATGTGTGTGTGTTATTATCTTACTTATCATGTTTCTATACTCTTTCTGATCTTCTTGTTGATTGTAATTTTCTGTATTATTAACAGTTTGACATGGGTGATGTGCTGATTGCTGGTAAACCAATTGGTATGTTTAGAAAATGAATCAGTACAAGTACATATTTGCTCATAGTAGTGCTTCCTTACATGGCCTGTGGTATCATAGTTGATGGTTCTGACTTTGAACATATTGTGAATCACAGGAGATTGTGCTAATGGCTGTGCTGCAATAGCAGATTCAGGGACTTCTTTGATCACAGGTCCCACGGTATGACCAACTGCTCGTATAATTGTTCGTTTTCATCACTTCATTTTAGAACTTAGTATTCCCTATGAAGTGTCGATGTTTCAGAACAAGTTATTCAAGGTCTTACACTTGTTTGAAACTCATGTACCTTAGATGAACTTCAGTGGACAACGTTTGTGAATAGTTGGTTTCTATTATCAAAAAAGTGTTTTTGTTCTCGTAGGATGCAATTAATGCTATAAATGAAGCCATTGGAGCTAATGGAGATGAAGTTGCAAGCCAAGAATGCAAGACTGTTGTTAATCTCCATGGACCTACAATCCTGGACTTGCTTTTAGCTAAAGTAAGATCCCATTCTGATTTATTCATTCATAGCGTAGTCTGTAAAAGAAAGTTCTTCATCTTGCAGAGAATGAACCTTGTCATGGTTTTACCTTTTTCTCATGTAGGCACAGTCAAATAAGATATGCTCCCAAATTGGATTGTGTGCATTTGATGGGACTCGTGGAGTTAGGTAAAGCTCAAAATTAGTACACTTTAGGGAAGTAGTATCATTTAATATGATTCATATTATATTGAAGAGTCTATATATTGTGTTCAGCATGGGTATTGAGAGGGTTGTGGATAAGAATGAAAGAAAATCTTCTGGTGATGCTACTTGTTCTGCTTGTGAGATGGCTGTTGTTTGGATGGAAAACCAGCTGAGGCACGATCAGACACAATATCAGATACTAAGCAATGTCAATAAGGTGAATATGACTTAAGTGATGAGTCTCATGATATCTGTAGGATCATGTGATGATGACTTAATTTTTATTTTAGTGTGATAATTTTTTTTTTTTGAAAAGTTGAATGAATTTAAATTTGGATTGAGTTCTCTGCCTTGTGTGATATTGCAGGCTTGTGGTAAACTGGGAGAAGCACTTGTTGCCTGTGAAAAGATACCTTCAATGCCTACTATTTCCTTCACTATTGGTGGAAAAACTTTTGACCTTTCCCCCAATGAAGTAATAATATATTCTCAATCCTTTTATACTCAAAACTAAAATATTTTACTATCAATTCTCATTCATCACTACAAGATGGAAGAGACTCATCATATTTGTTTTCCTAATAAGAAAATGAAACATCAGGAAATAAATCAGAATGAGGTTGACCAAACTTTCTAATCTCATAGCCTCCAATTTCTTGCCATACCAAAATTTATCTGTTGTACTTACAAATCTCTATTTTACATGTGCATATTTGTGTGGTGTATTCAGTATATTCTCAAGGATGAAGAAGGTTCTCAAGTTCAATGCATCAGTGGCTTTTCTGCGTTGGATGTGCCTCCTCCTCGGGGCCCTATCTGGTATATACCCCATAACTATACCTCCGTCCATTCTGTCAATTTTGTCTTCAGAAGATTACTCCCAAAAAAAAAAAATTATGAAATTGAAAACACATGAACATGATTCTGATATTAAGAATTTGATCAGATTCTGACATGATGATTGGTGTCTGCATAATGCAGGATCCTTGGGGATGTTTTCATGGGTCCCTATCACACAGTGTTTGATCTTGGTAACTTGAGGGTGGGATTTGCCAGAGCTGCATGAAGAATATATATAGATATACATGCATACTTGTCATGTTCATTTGGTATTGGTTTATGTGTGTATCTCAACCATATATGTGTAATTACTGATTAATATTCATTGAATACAAGGAACATCATTATTTTAAAAATTAATGAAAAATACAGCCACTTCGAGTTGGGATTACTTGTCAGGGCCTTAACTAGTTCTTTTGATTTAATTTATAATTCACTTTCAACTTATTTCATCGAAATGGAATCAAGAAAAACCTTAAAATACATAGTTTAATAATCCATATTCTTTCTCACATTTAATGGGTAAAAAGGAAAACTTATGATAAAAAGTTAATGATATGTCTTATATATAAATAAATAAAACCTTCTCTCTGATCTTTGTTGATGAAGTTAATGGCATTGAAAATAACATTCTGAAGATATTCCCTTTTTCTAATAGAAGATTCTGAAGCAAAAAAAAAGCAGGTCTCAGAAACAAATGACTTTAAATAACATTGCACCGTCCATCGATAATGGCTAAAAATAGGACAAACTCTAAATATGATAGTTGTAACTAAAGAGGACCTTGTTCCCAATAGTCTGCAAGAACAAGGTGCAGCTGAAAACAGGAAAAACACTTGATGTGAATTTACCCAACTTAGTTTGATTCCTTAGACTACTCAACTTAGTTTGATTCCTTAGACTTCGAACTGTGTCCATCTTTTTTTCTTTCCAAGTCTAGTTGGCATGGCGATGAAATTAAAAGTTCAAGAATAGTTACTAAGCTTGCTGGATAAGTCATTGAGTGAGAAAGCAAGATCGTGTTTCTGGAGAATCATCAGATGACGATGAGCGATGATAATATATAAAATTATAAATTACTTTTGAAGAGCCAAATTAAAATTTAATTAAAAGAAAAAAAGGTGGATGCTGCATTTGCTTGCATGTTACAGCACGCTTCCTTGGTTACGGATTCATGAATGGATTACTCATCAGAAAAAGTAAAAAGGAAAAACAAATAAAAGAAACTATAATAAGCCACTTTGCCTTTGCGGGAGGCACGTGATGGCATTTTCTTTGGATTCTACTTTCAACGTCCACGTTCTCCCACTCAAGCACAGTACATATTGTCAAAACATTCAATTTACGGCCAAAAAAAAAAAAAATCCATAATAAGAATATAATATTTTATTTATTTACTAGCTAGCTTCCATAAAATGTTGAAGATTGTGACATCTTCCCCATTTTCTATCCCTAATTATCATGTTCAAATTTCAAAACGCTGGATGGCTTATTAGCTTCCTTCTCATGGTCTTCATTAATTACTTAAATTTTACATCTTCTCATGGATTAAGCACACTCCTTCTATCCCTCATTATAAAACATTTCTAACTATCTCACTAAAATTAAAAAAATATAATTAAATTATTAACTACATCTAGAAATAGAATAAATTTTTAATTTTATCCCTATTCATCAAATGAATAATTTTTAAATTTGTATTATATTCTTTCTCATAATTAATGAGTTTAACTAAGAGTAATATTAAAACAACGTAATTAATATACCCAATCAAGTATCTTATATTAAAATAAAAGAATTTTTTTAAAAAAATATCCTATAACAGAGGCTGAAAATAGTACTTGAGTGCAGATACATGTAAAAGTGGGCATTGTGTGAAAGAGGTTAATTAGTTGGGTTTGCTCGCTTCCAACTATGCTCCAACTGTCATAAGCTTCTTTACACTCATCACAAGGCCACTCCAACTATTCCTGCCTTCCCTTTCTTCAACATTTCCTTCCGTATCGCCTCATCCAATTCCACTACACAATATCAATCCCTACTTCAAATACAATGCATAGTTGAGACATATTGCCTCTGGTTACTATTTAAGTGCAGAAAAAGGAGTAGTAGGTAGGTGTAAGCCTTCTATTTTCTTTCACTGCTTCTCTTCATTTTTGTCTTTCTCATATAATCCATTTACAATGTGAATCATCCCTTAAAATTTGGTAAATGATTGAAAAGTAAGTCTTATTATCATAAAAAAAAAAACACGTGATTTATAAAAGTAGCCCCTAGAACTATCTAACTTTCAGCGTGCTAAGAACAGTTGAAAATTCAACATTTTGAATTAGAAGTGCATTCCTTTCATTGTTAATGAGCCAAAAAACTAGGATAAAATTAAAGCATAGTAATTTAGGCCAAGTGATAAGGCAAACTCAAATAAATTCAAACAATTTTAGAGTTGAGGTTTGAAGTTTAGAGGATTTTTTTTATTCCAGGCTTATTTGAACCACCAAGCTCAAATTTTAATAAACTTAACTAGATACTCAAATTTTTATTATTATTTATAAAATAAGATAAAAATTAAAAATATTATTTTTTAAAAAATTAAAATTAAAATTACATAAAAAATAATAAAATAATATTTAACAATTCAAGTATTTAAGTTAGCCTAAATAAAATCTAAAGCTTGAGGGGTTAAGATAAAGCTTTGCTATATAAGTTTTTTTATATGTTAAAATATTTTAAACTCAATTCAAATAAATTTAACCTAACTTGGGCTTGATTTAGATAAATCCAACCCTGTTCAAAATGCCAGTTGTACATAAAATATATGCAAATCCTTTGAACTAAACTCGTAGTCACAAATTGACATGTTCCTGTGCACCTACGTACGCACCATTTTATCCATCCAGAGTACGGAAATAATTAGGCAGTCAAAAGTCAAACACAGTTTAATTTATCACTGCACTCTTGCCTAATTCTATCTAGTGAATTGAATCCTCCCTCTCTTTTACTCTTATCAATGCCAATCATCTACGTTGCTTTCCTTCCTAACAACATTCTCTTCATTTGAACTTCTTTCACACAAAAAAAGAAAAATAATGAATAAATAAAAAATTCTCTTCTTATCGCCATCAGGATTCAAGTTCATTATTGCAAGTACACAGCCATTATATTATCAGAAAATGACAGTTAAGTCTTAAGAAAAAATAATACCAATTAATAATATAATCAAAGAAAAATATAATTTTATTTTTCTGTACTTTGTTTATATTTTGTTGTTGATTCCTATACTTTTTTTTTTGATATTTTTAATTATTATGTTTTTATTTTTTATTATTTTAGATCCTTCCATGAACAAAGTATGAGAATCTCGAAAAAATTTAAAACAATAAAAAATAAAAGTATAGAAAATAAAAACACAAAAAAGAAGAAGCACAAGGATGAATAGCTCCTGAAAGTTATCTTTTTCAGAAACTCCATTTTTGGGAAGAAAAAAAAAATCACTCAAATACCTCCATTTTTTCAGAAACTCTGTTTAGACTCTCTGAAATTCTATCATGGCAGAAACTATTTGAAGCTCCATCTATTGGATAATCAATTATTTTAAAACTCTATTTAATAATTAGTTTTTTATAACCGACTTTACTTAACTGAAATCCAAATACACGCATGGCAAACGAAATATACTCGCCGGATAGGGACACTGAATCCTCTTATCTTCCCTAAAAGCCATATAAATTTAATTTCCCATGCTTCCCCATATATAGGTGTGTATATTAGAGGAATTAATACGCTATTAAATCTTCTGGTACATTGCATGAACTTGTTCTCATGAGCCATCCCCTGATGCATCAGCACATGCCTCCATGTGCACCATTCTCCTATATATTTATATATGACTCTAGTTTTAAACCCAAAGTCAACTTAAAAAAAATGAACGCAATAAACTACATTAATCTATTAAATTTGATTATAATTTAAGCGAGTCAAATCATTTTTTTTTAAGTTTCTAAGGGTACTTTAACTTAACTAGGCGCGTCTAATTAAACGTTGAAAACAATTCATTTTAATTGGGTAGTACGGTTCTAATTAATTAAAAATTGCGAGGCTATGTGCCTTGGGAACAAATTAATTTATCTGACTTCTTGTGTGCATCGCCGGCTGATTAACGAAGTTCCTAGCCCCACACACTCTTGTTTTGACACGTGGATCTCTCCCAGCACAGGAGGGTGAGAAGATGTGAACACAACCAAAAACTTCAGACTCTAGAATCTTAAATCTCACAACTCGTGTACTACATATTCCTTTGCCTGAAGCCAACCATACCAAACCAAACTGTTAAAGTTTTAACTTCGCATATATAAATATGGGTAACGCAGAATGGTAGCTCCTAACAAACAAACCCACCTTCTCATTTCACATTTTATAGTCCAAACCATTTTTAGAGCTCCAAATTAAACTCTAAGCTTTAGAGCTCTCTTCTATGGACTGGTCTAGGGGTCCCACAGTCGGCCGGGGTGCCACCGCCACTGTTTCAATTGCCCGTGATTGCCGGTCCGGTCGCTTGTTCGCTGTCAAGTCGGCGGAGCTGAACCGATCGGAGTTGCTTCAAAGGGAACAGAAAATTCTGTCCACATTGAAATCTGCTCACATTGTAGCGTACCAAGGTTTTGACATTACGTCGGAGAGAAACGTACTTTGGTACAATCTGTTCATGGAGTATGCACCTTATGGTACGCTAGCCGACATGACTCGCCGGCGAGACGGGCTAGATGAGGCAGTGGTTCGAACCTATGCGCGCCAAATCTTGCTGGGGCTTGACCATCTTCATTCAAATGGCATAGTGCATTGTGATATTAAAGGTAAGAATGTTTTGATCACGGAGGAAGGGGCTAAAATCGCAGACTTGGGTTGTGCTCGGAGGGGCGCTGATGCGGTGGATTGCGGCGGCTTGGTTGCCGGTACACCGTTGTTCATGGCGCCAGAGGTGGCGCGTGGGGAGCAACAGGGTTTCGCTGCCGACGTGTGGTCTCTGGGGTGTACTGTGTTGGAGATGATCACCGGGAAGGCTCCCTGGCCAGATGTAGCCGACCCGCTAAGTGCGGTTTATCGGATCGGGTTCTCAGGCGATGTGCCAGAGATTCCAGGGTTCATGTCGGAGAAAGGGAGGGACTTCGTGAGCAAGTGTCTGAAGAGAGACCCGAACGAGAGGTGGTCCGTGGCCGAGCTCCTCAGGCACGCGTTTGTGGAAGAATCAACTTCATCCAAATCATCCATGGAAGAATTTGAAAGCTCCAAGCTTGATACTCCGACGAGCGTAATAGATGGATCCATTTGGGATTCGTGGGAGACCACCCAAGATCCGACCCGTGTTCGTTCCAGCAATCCTGGCGGAGACCGGATCCGTAGGTTGTGTGCAGAAGCTACGACGTCGTTTGATTGCAATGAGCCCAACTGGGGATGGGATGATGAAGAGTGGGTCACAGTGAGAAATAGCAATGAGACAAGTGAGAATTACAATGTTGACCTAGGACATGAGGGAAGTTTAGTGCACTGTTATGAACCCAAAACGGTAATTACAATTGGGTTGTGGCTGTGTAATAGTGTGAATTGTAAGGTTTGTTGTAATAGCAGCAACTACGTTAGTTGTAACAAAGGATTAATGTTAGGCTATGATGATTGGTCATATGTAAGGATGATTGTTCTCAAGAGGGAAATTGAATCTCAAAATAAGGAAAGAATTTTTCACGGTTTGCTTCTGTCTCTCACTCTATAGTGGCATTATGGGTTATAATGGTTTCACATGTGGCCAACATAATAGCTAAGTAGGTCAAATTTTGAGGCGATATATATACACAGACACACATGATTACTTGGGAAAACTAGGCTGTCTTTGTAAAATCACAAGCGGATTTGGCTTTCTTTTTTGGTTCACGAGAAACTAGATGAGATGAAGACTTTGAAGCACGTCCCTGATTGGAATTACTTGATGGATTTGTTTCATGTGTTTCGTAGGTAATTTGATTTTCACCAAATTCAATGCAAAGAGAGATTCTTAGCAATTCTGAATGGGAAAGTAATAATTTCCTGAATCTTTTCACCTTCAAATGCTCTCCAGACAAATAAAACTTGCCTTCCAAATTTGCGGATGAACGTGGAATAATCAAGTATGAGACATGTTGAAGAGTAGGGAAGATGTGTCTTCCAAATAAAATACATGCATATACCCATATAACTTCAATGATCCCAAACTTTCTAAAGATAATGAGGCATGGTATTAAAATTGTGTGATCATTACCGCTGTATAATAATGAGGCATGATCCCATTACTGCTGCAGAACTAATGATATACTTGAAGGAATTAAAATATGTTAGAATGACAGGTTTGATAAAATTAAACATTCATTCTTACTTTCTTAAAGCTTTCATGCTCATTTAATATGAATTCTTTAATAATAAACCCTTATTGAAATTATCAAAAAAATTAAGAAATTTGTCATAACAAGCTGGATAATTGCATTTGATTATGTTTTTAGAGAAGTTAATAAATACGTTAATTGGCTTGCACATCCAACTTCAAATGATAATTTAGATATTAAGATTTTTTATATCCCGCCTAATGTGAGAATTTTTTGAACTCTAATATAACTTGATTTGCTTTTGTTTTGCAGGAATTTTTCCATTAACTTATATTAAAAAAAAATTGTGTGTTTGGAGAGGTACTCCATTCGATTTTGAGAAAGGAACAAATAATTATCTTATCAATATTAAAAAATGATTTTTAAAAATTAAGTACATTTATCTATCCTTCTAGGCAATTTTGTTTGAATCACACTAAAGTATTGAATAGGAATACATCTTTCAATAAAAATTCATTTCTTGATTCATCAAAGACTATCATTTTTCACTAAATCTAACTCCTGTTGTAAAATGATTATTATTTTTAAATGTGTCAAAAATTGAAAATAATGTAAATGTAAACTTCTACCATGTACTGTATTTCATTATTCTTAATTACTATTCACAATTTAATCATTGGTATAATTAAAATAATATAATTCATGCAAAGATAATTAGATAATAAGCTCTTTATTTCTTATAATTTAAACTGAAACAAGTTTCCTAATTAAAATTATCTTATATTCAAAACCAGAGGAAGCATATGCCTACCTTAAAAATTATATGTAGCTTTGCTTGTGTTGTTATGTTATCTACTAGAAAGTAGAAACTGGAATCTAGCATCATAAAATTTCCTAAATCACAAAAATTGTAATTATTATGAGCCCATAACAAGAAACGTTGTATGCAAGTAAAAGAGAGAAGGAAAGAAACTTTGCCAAAGGTGAAAATCAAAAGACATTATTGGCTCCACAAAAGCAAGGGATAATGACAATTAAAAATCTCATAAAATTATTAATTACAATTAGAGATTTTAAATTATTAATATTTCAATAATAAACTATGATTCTTACTTGGAATTAAAAATATATATGAGTTTATAAAATTTTCCTCACTTGGAAAATACAAAAAAAAAAGATGTTATTGAAATTATTATAATGAGTTGGGACTATTGTTAATTTTAGTTAAAAAAATCACGATCCATACTTAAGAATATGTTGTTTCTCAATATAAAATTAAAATTCACTTGTGAAACTCTCAAAAGATGCTTATGAATATGCAATAATCACTTGAAAATTTATCAAAGTTATTACTGAATATAAAGTCAATCATTTGTAAATTTTTGTCTGTCAATATATAGGCAAATCACTTGAAAAATTAAAAATAGATTGAAATTAATATCATAGGTTGGGATTATCATTAATCTTAATTGAAAAAACTAAAATTTCAGGTATTATGAATTGAAACTACTTAAATTACTATTATGAGTTGGGATTACTATTAATCTCATTCGCAAGAGTGAATTCTTGTTTTTTCAACTGAGATTATCAATAATCTCAACTCATGATATTAATTTTAGCACTCAAATGTTATTTTGTAAACTCACATATTTTTATTACCAAGTAATAACTATGATTCATTATTAAAATATCAATAATTTGATGTTCTTAATTGTAATTAATGGATTGGTGGGGTCTTTAACTGTCCTTTTCCCCAGAAGGAAACCAAAGTGTCTTATGGTTAGGCACATGCATAATGCATCGACCATGGAGATATTTTTATCTCAAATCAAGAGCTGCTTAGTGAATCCAAAGAAAATAATAATAATAATAATAAATAAAGGGGCTAAAATTCTTTTAAGTTTTAACACCAAAAGTCATTTAGTACTTTAAAATTTTTTTATATTTATATTGAAAAAATTTCAATTATGTTTTAAAAAAATTAAATTAATGACAATTAGATCTTTAATAATTTTTTTAAAAAATAAGTTGTAAATATGAATTCAGATAATTATAAACAGAAATCCTAGTTATAATCTAAGTTTATATTTAAAACTTAAATATTTTATTTATAATTAAAATTAAAAAGCTTGATTCTATAATTTTTTAAATTGATATTTGCAAGTTATTTTTTTAAAAATTTTTATTGAGAAGTTAGCTATTATTATTTTTTTTTTGGAGAATTAACTATCATTCTCATTCATCATCATCATAATGAGCTTACCTAAAGTCACTAACCTGACTTTTCCCTCCATAGTTAATGCAAACTAAGAAAGAGAGAGAGAGAGGAAAAGTTTGGTATTTATATAGCCTTAAAAAAACACCATACGTTTCATTTATCAACTAAATAATTAATTAATATGTTTCCCTATTTACTTTTTTGCCTCCACTCCCACCGAACTTCCAATTCTTCCTATCAGCTCCCCACTACCGCCATAAGGAAACAGTTCGTGAAAAACTTTTAATGGACGCCACGTGGATGGTGGTTTACACAGCACAGTACTCCCTCAGTTTTTTGTTTACAGTAGAAACTATTGCAAACTTTTATTTATAATTTTATCATTCATACTGATAAAAAAATAATTAATAAATGTTTGATTAGCACAATTAATAAAAGATATTATAGTTTAATTCTTTTATTTTTAGGTATAATTAATATAATTAATTAATTTTTTTTAAACTGTATGATATATTTTTTTCTATAAATAGAAACAAAGGGAGTATATATTTTGATTGTTCACATATACTTTGGACGATCTTTGGCACCTTTGTTTAACTATCTTACTTAAATTAAAAAGATGTGGAATAGTTATTAATTTGGACTAAAAATAGAATATACTTTTAATTTTGCCCTATTTAAATGAAGAATTTTTAAATTTACATTACATTTTTCTTATACTTAATAAATTTAAATAGAAATAATATTAAAAAATATAATTAATATTTCATCAAGTGTCTTGTATTAAGGACCAACGAATTTTTCTAAAAAGTGCCTTATAATAGGACCTGGAAGGTGTACTTATGAGTACGACCATGCACTAAATGTGAGTATTTTTTCAAATGATAATGATGGTGTATATATTTTTTAAGATTATCTAAATTTTTATTCATTTTATTCTAAAAAATTGAAAAATATTTTTAATTTAGTAATTTAAGAAAATCAATTATTTAATTAGCTAAATTTTAAATAAAAAATAAACACTTCTAAACAATAAATATACAAATAAACAGATAAATTCCCTATGTTGATCCCTCTAATTAACTATTGCCAATAATTCAGACGAAACCCAAAAAATTTTAAGGTAAAGCTTAGAGAAATTGTAACTTTTTTACACAAAATGTTCTTGCTGTAATGTATACAGATAACTGAGTTAGGAAGAGAATGATTGAGTTGTTTCCCTTGGATTCGTTGGGTATATCTTATCTATTTATAATGGTATATATAGGACTAGTGTCTTATAAATTAGGTATAAGGCTTACTTTCTTTGTTTAAAAATGTAAAGTATTTTTAATTAAATATTATCCTTCAATAAAGTAATTATCCACTTCAAACTAACCCTATCTTTTCATCTTTACCCCTAAACACCCTATAATAAATATAAAGTCATTATTAATAGGAATATTTTTGGAAAGAAAATAATGATTACTCTCGAAAGACTAAAAATATTTTACATTTTTAAACATTCAACTCCTTAAAAAATATTTTATATTTTTAAATGGAATGAATATTTCACATTTCTATTTATTTTTTTAACCCACCAGCCCTCTATATATATATTTTTTAAAAAAGGCACTAGCATGATTATAATTCCCATCTTATCCAGACCCTTATTTGCTTTTATTTTATCTGCCCAATTAGGCGATGGTGACAGTGAGAGGAGGAAAAAAGACAAAACAGAGAGAGGGAGAGCACATCATCACCTAACAGTCCTAACTTGGTCCACTTCAGCTTTCAGAATGAAGTCAATGAACATTTCCCTTCTGACTCATTACTGAAAGCATAGATCACCAAACTTCACTTGGGCTTTCAAAATGAAGTCAATGGATTTCCCCTGACTCAATGCTGTCTCATAAAGACAACTGCAGCTAATTCTGTTCAAAGTGAATACAATATTTTGGTTTGATTAAAAGCATTCTATGAAGGTATGGGGCAAAAATGCCTAAGTTTCCTGCACAAAATATTTCTATTTTTTAATTAGAGTAATGTCGTTTCAGAACTTTTTAAAAATGTGCAATATTTTTTCACAAATAAAGTTAAAAACATTAATCGTTAAAAATAAAGTTTGACCGAAGATTTTTTTGACCCTTCTTCTTTTTTTGCTTCCCTGCCAAAAAATTCCCTTTTAGATCAAGGAACAGCAACTTTGTGGTCAGGTTGAATTTTTTAAAAACATATATATGGAGGGAAAGTTAAGGAATTAATTTATCCTAAGGTACAACTCCCATTTAGCGGGTAAATTAGATATTTTTTCTACTATAAATCAAAGAAAGAACCAAGATAAGCAATTGACATAAAATCTTAAAAAGGTGAAGGCGAAGGGGCTATACAGCCTACAGAACAAAGAGGTGATGAAAGGCATCACGACAGTGTTCACAGACGAAAGGGGCATACTTTATCATCCTTCTCAGCTACTCTCAATTTTAGAGGTCTTAAAAGGTTAGGTGAGTTCAATCTTAAAAAAGAGTTTAGATGAGTTCAGTGTTAAAGGTTTATTAAAGCATAGACAGGCCTTAAATGTTTACTTATCCCAATGGGATATGAGTTGCATCTTTGTCAACTTGACCAATTTTCATTGGCCATTTTATTAATATGAACAAAATTTTGATTGAACTATATTTATGTAAGAGACTTCATCTTCACAATTTATTTTTGGCAAATGTTCTATGTAATTTTTTTTTCATTTTTTAAAAACAAATGTTCTATGTCAAAATTTACTTTGACATCAAAAGGAGGGTAAGTCAACAGAATAATTAACAGTTGCTTGAATGCAATATGAGTCAGTTTTGGCAATATGTGAATTAGAGGCTAAGACAACTAATTAGCAGCCTCTGAAGGACATGAAAGATCCGATATACCCTATTGGCTAACTTAAAAAGTGGAATCCACAACCAGAAAACCTGTGCTGAGTTAGGAAAAGCAGAAAAAGATATCATGATCATCTGCATTTTTGGCCACTGCATGTGGAAAGAGGTTGAAAAAAAAAGGAATATATATATATGTATATAAATGATGAATGAATTGAATGAATGAAAATATAGATTAGTGAAGTGCTACATGAACATCACTGCTTTTTCTTTTGCCCTCTACCCCCTTCAACCATCCATTTTGTCCGCTACTTCTTTTTTTTTTTTTTTTATACACTTGTCCACTACTTCTTTGGTTCAACATTCATTCTGATTTTTCCCCCTTAATAATATAGAACTGATATCTCAGTAATTTAATGTTTTAAAAAAAATATGTCAGAAGGAATAAAACTCATCTGTAGGTCAAAGTCTCACTTCTTCTCTTCCTTTCCTCCACTCATGGTAGAAGATTCAAATTGAAAAATTAGGTAAGACAGTTATCAAGTATAATTTATACATAATATATATATATATATAAGTAAAGCAAACACATTTCATGTTCTTTCTGATGCTTGAACTGGAAAGATAAAAATGGATGTGTGCCAAAAGAGCATCCAAACTGCTTACAACTTGAATTGATGGCCATCGTCAAATAAACTTTAACCATGTGCTATACTTTGGCATCTAAATCTATAATATTCATCCAGCCATGGAGATTCTTGATTCTTTGTCCCCAGAAACTTTAGATCCGACAAGGAGATATGAGATATCAAGATATAATTACCACAAAAGTTCTTGCGCGCTCGAGGGAGGGTACTGTTACTATCCTTTCGGATTTGTTCTACACTTCTAGTACAGCTAAAACATGGTTGATTGAAAGTACAAGGTAGAGAATGGATCATGGAGGTTTATACTATACAATAGTGGAAGCCATAAGATTATATGTATGGAAGAGGGTTCAAACTAATTAAGTGACATATACTCTGAGTCCAAGTGTGAGCTAATTATAAAAGTGAAATCAATAGCATAATAACAACGAATTTAGATTCCAAAGTTAGATTATACTCATTCATGTTTTGTATCATTACCTCTTATACTTCAAAGATACTTTGGGCCTGTTTAGTTTCTATTTTCATTTTTTTTATTTTTAAAACTGTTTTGCAATTTTTAAAATTGTTTTTTTAAAACAAAACAAAAAAAAAATATGTTTGGTTGTGTTAAATTAAAAATAGGTTTAGAATTAAAAAATTGGTAGATTGTAAAGGTCATTAATAGTTAATGATGATGACTTATGATAATTATCAGTCAAGATAATTATAGTTTTCAATAATCAAATGTAATGCATTTTAAAAATAAGAAAAATAAAATGAAAATAGCTTTGAGATATTCCTCTTTTTTTAAAAAAAATAAAATATAAACATTTTTTTATTTAAAGCACTCTTCTAAACAAGTTTTTTTAATATTTTTTATTTTTAAAAACAAAAAAGTGAAAATAGAAACCAAACAAACCCTTTAGAATTTCTTTGTTTTATGTTTTTAAAACCGTTTCCTATTTTTTAAAAAAATAAAAATAATTTTTTTGGATATGTGTTTTGGATTTAACTATTTTAAAAAAATATTCTCATTTTTGTGTTTTAAAAAAATGAAAACATTTTAAATTTATTTTCATTTTATTTTTTTGTTTTTAAATATACTACATTTGACTATTGAAAAATATTATTAGTTGGACTAATTTTTATTATAAATCACTGTTATTAATCACTTGCAATCATCACTATTAGCTTATTTTTAAATTCTAAAATTATTTTTAAATTAACATAATCAAATAAATTTTTATTTTGTTTTGTTTTGACAAATAATTATAAAAATTAAATTACTTTTTTTAAAAAAATAGGAATAGAAATCAAACAGGCTCGGACTGACTTTCTTTCTTTCCTTTCACTTTGCCTTATTTCTAACATCAAGTGGTCCAAATCCATCGTTATTTTATGTTAGCTGAAATTGACTGGGAAATATTTGCTTCAATGTTATTGTCCCCCAGAGTACTCAGGATCCTCTTATAGCTTCACCCCTGCATATGATGAAATCACCACACCCATTTTGACAGAGATTAGGGTATGGACTACCAAGACAGAACCTAAGAATCACCCAAAAACCGCGGATGAATCTCGCAAAAGTAATCACTTACACAAGCTCCTAGAACTGAGAGATTCAAACATCGTACAGCATGAGCGATATTCAGATTTGGGTTCCACCACATAACTTTTCCAGCCTTTCAAAGACTCTAGAAATTCCATTTAAATCTATCACGGAATCTAGGTCCTAAATGTGATTTCTTAATAGGTATTGTCTTTTATTATCCTAATCATACGTGGCAGGGGACTTAACGCAACTTTATGCAGGCTCCTTCTCGATATGCATTTTCCTTGGTGCACAAGCTTTAATATGGAAGAGTTTGAGTGAACACAAGGGGGACTCACAAGCTCTCTGGCATGCATTTAATGTACTACCTTCCTTTGCTTTTATCCTGTTATGGGGTCTCTCTGTATTCACTGCAGCTTCTCTATCTTTTCTTTACATTCTCAGGCGCTCCTTTCACTTTGATCTGGTGAAGACCGAGTTCTTACATCACATAGGAGGGAATTACATGTATGCTCCTTGGATTTGTTGGCTTCTCATTCTTTAATCTGCACCCATGACTATTCCTAGATCTTTCTATTAAGTTCTTTGATGGACACTTTCAGTTCCAATATTGGTGCTTGATGTGAAATTATAGGGACAGTGGCTTACAACTGATAAACGGTTTCTGTCGTTGGTAGCGAACCCAGTACGCCAGATATTAGTCATAGGAAACTGCTCAAGTCATGGCGCAGAGATGGGTTGGAAAGACAGTGCAATCTCAATGTTCTTACTTGGATATGCATATTATCTGATTCTATTTGTAACACTGTATCAGCATCTAAACAGTAGCAATCGGTTTCCCACAGCGCTGAGGCCATGTTACTTTCTGTTCTTTGCAGCTCCAAGCATGGCAAATCTAGCCTGGAAGTCATTCTCAGGGTGTTTTCTTACCCATCTAAGATGCTGTTTTTCTTATCTTTGTTCCTCTTTGTGTCTATGGTAGGTACCCAGCCGACTCAAATTCCATATTTGAATTGAAAATGATTTGTTTGTTCTTCCTCTAGCATTGTAACATGGCAATCTCTCTGGTTTAAAACAGGGTTGCAGGCCAACTCCAAGAAATCAATGAGAAGGTGGATTTACTCAAATTAACCTTCATTGGTCTAGCCGCTGTTGAATATGCTCGAGGTAAAAGTTAGCACAGCTTCCGGGTTAATGTCAGCAACATGCGTGCTTTCAGTGTTGGTTTTCATTGGCTTGATGCTGATCACCGCACTCAAAATTGAGGGGCTGCTTTGTAAAAATGCTTCAATTATCTGTTGCTAATAATTAAAAAAAAAAGTAAGAAATCTCAAGCCTAATCTTCTGCTCACTCATATAAAAATAGCAAAATAACAAATTAAGAAGCAAAACAATGAAATAACTCTGATAAGAAAAAAGGGAATGACATCATGAGCTTCGAATTGACCGATATTAAGCAGTAATTTTCTTCTTCTCGTTGTAAGGAAAATAAATGGAAGGGAGCCAATGCATGGTTAAAAGCTAGCCCAGGTACATTAGTCGACTTCCATTCTTTTCTTGTTTTTTCTTAATCCTCTAAACCAAACACTCCAAAAAATTAAAATAAATGAATGGGAAAAGAATACAGCACCGCTCTGATATAAACAGTTTTCAATTATTTTCCTTAGATTAATTAATTCATAATTCGGCTAAAAAATATTAAAGTGAGTATTTGAACTTATCTTTAATCATATGATAAAAAAGATTAAGATGGTTGTACCTTTTTAACACAAAAAATTGAACTGTCAGGAAGAGAGCACCCTCCTAAGAGGGGAGCCCAACAAAAAGGGCAATGACAAATGAAGAAGAGTTAAGGGGAAAATGGATCCCTTGAAGTACTGCCCTCCCAAATGATGAGAAAGATAGAGAGAGAGCAAGGTGGACTGGTGGGCAGAGGCAAGACCCATTGGCATATTGCTATCTCCCTTTCTCTCTCATTATTTCACCTGGATCCTTACTTCAGAGAATCCAAGTTTGATCTCTGGCATAACATATATACCACCAAGCACTAGTACTAGTCACTTCCCTCCTTTCAATATGAAGTGGTGAAACATGAGTAATAAAATTTTCGATTAAAAAAAAAATCACCTATACATCTGGCCAAAAAAAAAAAAAATTTACACAGACAGTACAGGACAGCACTATATTTATCTTATCAATTAAAAAAAAATCACAGTTTACCAGGGCAAAATTGATCCAAATTCTCTCCACCTCATCAAAAAAGCTAAAATTTGGAAGCCTATTCCTCAAGGAACATCTTAAAAAGGATTTATGGCAGGCAATTGGAAAACCACCTCCATCCTGCAAAAATGTTTCTTACATATTCTTCTTACTAGCTGAGCGTGACAGTTTCTGGTAGTCCAAGGATTGCAGTTGGCCACGCAGGTCTTGCTTTTCCTTGAGTACACGATCGTATTCAACAAGGAATCCCTCAGATTGTTTCCTTAGAGCAACTGCATTGACTTTTGCAGTACTTACACTTTTAATTTTGGCCTGAAGTTCAAATTCCAGCTGATTTAGTTCTTCGCTCAATCTGGCCTTTTCTTTTTCCAAGGCTTTGATTTCTTCAGCCTTTCGAGCTTTAAATTCTTGGGCTTCTTTCTTCAATTCTTCGGATTCTTTCTTCATAGCCTCCATGTTATTTCTTCGGATTTGGAGTTCTTTTATGTAATGGTGTAGTCTGTCTACCATAAGTGCAAGCAAAAGGACAGCACCTGCAAAATACCAAAGCAAAATGATGCTCAAATGCCAACAAGACACTGTCTAAACAATCGATTACTAAGAAACAACAGGCCCTGAAACTAAAATTAGTATTTTGGCTTAAATGCATATGTTAATTATCAGATATTCTTGCTTAGACGCACACTTTTGCTGGGTATTTTGATGGGTTTTGTAGTGAATTTAACTTGGAAAATAAAAGAAAATGTGTGTGCTAGGACTTCAGATAATAAAATGCAAAAATATGTGATTTTTGGTCCAATTGTATCGAATCTCTGCAGATTTTATGTCCTAACGTAAGTTACAATACGTTTACAGGGTATTAGGAAGATGGAATTGAAGTATTTGGAGATTGAACGATATGAATAGTGCTTGGACAATTTTGAAACCCTCTGGTATTTTGACCTTAACTTTCAACTCAAGCCCAATTGAGGTGATTTAACATGTATTCAAAACTAAGACCGGCTAGAGCAACCATGTTTGAAATTAGGCTCTATGCATTTGCATATAAACTGTTGACCGGCTAGAGCAACCATGTGAAAATAAATTAGAGTAATAAAGCGGAAGGGTCAAGAAGTGGGAAAGCTACTACAGAGGTGACACCATCAAGACATTAAATTTCCCAAAGAACAGAGCCTAACAGAATGTTAAGCCTAGTTTATTGACAAATACTGGGCATATTGGACCTCATGTTTAGTTTCCTCCTTGTTTCCCCCCTTCATCGCTTCATTTCGAGAGCAGAAAGTCCACTCTACTGCACGCAGAGCAAAGTGAAATCATTGTGAACAAACATCACCAGCGTAACCAGAACTACCAACCAATAATTTAAGAAAACAACTCACGAGACATGTCTTTGAAGTGATTGATTTAAACCATAGCGAAAAATGAGCCACAGCTGAAACTTAACACATTGACTAAACCAATAATGAAGCAAACGCACATAATGTTAGAAATGATTACACCCATCAAGCCTCACACTTCACTCAATGTCGTCTACTCCCTAAGCCCCATTTTGATGAAAGTCAATATCAAGTTATTACCCTAAAGATTATCCGTATCATCATGTCAAGGTACAATTTTATTTGGCCAACTTCATCCCTCGAACTGTACTAAAATGATCAATGCAAGATTTCCAGGATAAGTATTCTATGGGTTGAAACAAAATCGTACTTTTGGAAAATAGAGTGATACAAGTCATTACGAGCATCATATTGATGTCAACACCGTGTTTTAAGAATGATTCAGTGGAAATTGACACAGAAGAAATCAAGGAAGAAATACCCATAAGAGTTGCTTCAACAAGGTGCTTAGCCACAAGAACCTGATAAGTGGGATTGATGGCGCCGTCCTCAATCCTTCGTTTCTGAATCTTCAGAATGCTGTGGACACTAGATAACAGCATCACAAGAACCGTCCCTCCCATGGTCTTCGCCATCACGGGTCCCCGACCGCGCTTGACCCGATCCAAGCCCATGATCACCAGCCTCCTCAAGGGGGTTTTAAAAAGGATCATCATTATCGTCACCGCCTCCAAGAACATGACAGTGAACAATGATTGAATCATCTCTTGTGGCAACAATATTCAGAGAGATTGATTGACGCGTGGTAATATTGGGTCAATGAGAGAGGTATTGTTTTGCAGGACCCAAAAGGTAATAAAGAGTCACATTCACTTCACAGAATCAAAATGGGAGCTTGGAAGAAGAAATTGACAAAGGGATGATGGAGAAAGAAACCAGAGAAACTTCCAAAGCTGAAGAATTGAAGATGGAAGGCGAAAGCTGGTGTTTTCTCTCGCGACTTCTCGGAGCCATTTCCCTCAGACCATCACGACGGTCCACGGCGGGTTGCGATGAGGTGCCCACCGCCGCTGGCTATTTTATTCTATTTTTGTATGCTTTCCAAATAAGTTCATCCCATGGTCCTTTTTAGCAATGTCCCCTTGTTTTTATAAATTTACTACTTTAATTTACTTTGATAATAATTATTAATAATTTAATGATCAGTTAACTCAATTATTATATATTTTTCAAAATATAATTTTTTAGAAATGATAACTCTAAAATTATTTTTATTTTAGATTTTATACCATTAAAATACTTTCAAGTGATCAAGTCATTTGGAACTTTGTTATAATTAATTTTTCATATGAAATAACACAAATATTTTTTTTTTTACAACAACGCAAATGTTCTTATACTCATTCCTTTTGACCACAGGCCAGCAATAATTGACCAACAACTTGTTGATCAATCAAAGTATATAATTTTTTTAAAATACATACATACATACATACATACACATATACATATATATATATATTAAAATATTAACAATTTGATATTTACATGTCTAGCATTGTGAAGTTACAAGTAAATTTTTAAAATTTACAAGTAAAAGTTATTTTCAAGTCAATCTATTTATTTAGACGTCAATCTTGTAGATTTACAAGTAAGTTAACAAATTAATTTTTTTCAAATGATTAATATTTAAATTTACAAGTGGGACTATATCATGTCACAAGATCTCTTATATTTAAAAGAATGATAAGTAAATAGTTTCTAAATTTTGAAGAACCAATGAAAAATTTATATAAACTCACTTATTTATTTATTTATGAGGTTGACCTGTAAATATTAATGTATTAATCTTTTTAGAGAGTTATCTGTAAACTTAAAAATTTTGACTTGTAAATATGCAAAGTTTGATTTGTAAATATTATATTATTAATATTGTAAGAGGTTGGGTTGTAAATTTAAGAAGTTTATCACTTGTATCTCTTGAAAATTTAGTAAATTTGTAATGTTTGACTTATAAATATTAAGTTTTAAATATTTATTTAGTCAAAAAATGTTAATATTTAAATAATTTTCTAAAAAATTATTGTTTGACTAGTCGATGGTCGTTGGCGATCAGTCAATATTAAACTAAAGGTTGAGCTCAAGAATATTTGTATCGTTTTGCATAAAAAAAATTAATTACAATTATATTTTGAGAGAGTTAAAAGTATTTTTATAAATTGGTGAGATTTATTTGTAATTAATAAGTTTCTTAACATGGGGAGTTATTTGTAAGTTGCCCAAAATCTTTAACATTGAGCCAAGCCCAATTCAAAAGTTCACGGAACCAGTCAAACATGGCCCAACCCATAAGGTGGCAAGGTAAGTAGCTCATGACCATGATGAACGCTGGGCGATACTGTTTGGATAAATACTTGTGGCTCGAGCAAGTATATTTTAATTTTAACATGAGTATCATAAATAAAAAAATTAATTATTTAATTTTTTATAATTTTAACTCAATTATAAATTAATTCTTAAATTTTTATTAATTATAATTCAATCTTTAAAATTTTAATTTAGTTGTAATTCAATACCTAAACTTCAACTCTTACAATTTAGTTTGTATAATTTTAATCACTTGAATATTAGTTCATATATCTTAAGAAATAAAATTATAAAAATTAAAATTATTTTAAAATTTATTACTAATATTTCAAATTACTAAACCATTTTAATCATATAAATATTATAAATATTAAAAATTTAAGATATTTTTAATATTTATAATTTTATTTTTAAAAATATAGGGATCGATATTAAAGTGATTAAAACTATAAGGATTGAATTGTAAGAGGTAAAGTTTAAAAACTGAACTCTAATCAGATTAAAATTATAAAAATTTAGTTATAATGAGTGAAAATTTAAAGATTAAGTTGTAATTGAATTAAAAATATAGGGGCCAAAAAATTATTATTTTTTTCATAAATAATTTGTAAGATTTTTTTAGATGAATAGTGCTTTGTGGAACTATGTAACACTTTATGATACTTACATATAAATTTATATACAGTTTACTAGCACCACAGAATTTAAATATATAGAACAAGTCTATGTTGAAAAGTCTCAAAAGCGCATGCTTTGCTTGAAGCTGATTGGGTTAAACTGTTGAAGTCTCGAGGCTCCATATTCATACCGTTAAAGCAGACAGAGAGGCCGAAAAGTCAGCCACAGGCCAAGTCCACTTGTCTAACTTTTCCTTCATCTCTCTATCTCTATTTATATGTCACCTCTCTCGTACGTTCTTCCCATTCGTGTAACTGTATCCCAACAAATTCTTAACCTTCAATTTCCAATAAACTTCATGTCTTCTCTACATATCTCAACTCTTTCTTCTTCTTCTTCTTCTTCTTTAAGGAGAGTTAGCGCTGCCATTAGTGTCCCGAAACTCCCACGAGTTCCTCTCTCGCTTCCGAAAATACCCACTACATCAACTTCAAAGTTGCTTCATGAATCCAATGATGGATCCTTGCACACAGTAACTACAACAGAAAATAAACATGTCACCAACACATACATGCTCCAAGATTTCTGCCATCTCAACAAATCTAAGGCCACCGTTCAACTGTATGCAATCTTAGAGGCTGTGGCTGACAGAGTTGAGACGCACAAAAATATTGGGGACCAACGAAACAATTGGAACTCTCTTCTTCTGAACTCTGTCAATATGATGACCCTCACTGCCACAACCATGGTTGGTCTCAACACCGCCATTGACAACACTGCTCTCAAATTTTCGTCCACTCTTTTGTTCACTGCAGCCACGGGTCTGCTATTGGTGATGAACAAGATTCAGCCATCACAGCTCACGGAGGAACAGCGAAACGCGACTAGATTGTTCAAGCAGCTTCAGACTGAAATCCAAACCACATTAGCTCTTGGAAATCCTACTGAGGAAGATGTCAAGAGTGCCATGGAGAAGGTTTTGGCTCTTGACAAGGCTTACCCTCTTCCCCTCTTGGGAGCCATGCTTGAAAAATTCCCTTCAAAGTTTGAACCAGCTGTTTGGTGGCCTGAAACTAAAACTAATGAAGTCGTGAATTCCCAGGCCAAAATGAATAATGGATGGAGTGCAGAACTAGAAATGGAGATGAGGCAGATTGTTGAAGTGGCAAAGAGAAAAGACGTGGAGGACTACGATAAGCTGGGAAACTTGGCTCTGAAGGTCAACAAAACATTGGCCGTATCAGGTCCTTTGCTCACTGGGATTGCAGCTTTAGGTTCTGCATTAGCGAGCCATGGCTCGTCTTGGCCAGGCATTGTGGCGGCCATGGCTGGGTCATTGGCGGCTTCCACGAATGCTTTGGAGCATGGAGGTCAAGTGGGATGGTGTTTGAGATGTACAGAAACTGTGGTGGATTCTTCAGGTTGCTCCAAGACACCATTGAAACCACACTTGAAGAGAAAGACTGCGAGAAGAGGGAAAACGGCGAGCTTTTTGAAATGAAGGCGGCGATGAAATTGGGAAGAAGCGTTTCGCAGCTCAGACAATTTGCCTCGAAATTTGCTGCCTACGACTGAGAAGGAATCGCTATGGATGAATTTGCGAGCAAGCTTTTTTGATTTGGAAGATAGACTAATATATATATATATATTTTTTTCAGTTCGTTGATTCGATTCGATTCTTTTAATCCTATTATATAGGAGCATTCTTTTATTCTTTATGTATAGTGTCCTGATATAAAGAACATTAACCTGGTTACCAATTGGTCCAAAACAAAACCTGGTTACTAATCAGAGAGTGCATTTGCCAGGTTGACTCGGTAAATTTGATCCAGTTCAAAGAACTCGGATTGCGCTCATTTTGGGCTGAAACAAAATAAAAATGTCTACTTTTTATTTAGCGGAGTTTTATTAGAATGAGAAATCTATATGATATTTGGGTCGGTGTTACGTTGCTTATTCAGCAATCACATAACTGATCTGTTACTTGGTTCAAATATTTTCCATTGTATTGAAATATTGACGCATCTATACAATGAAGGTTATGTTTTCCGATAGCTCGCCGGGAATTTTTATTCAAATTGTGAATCCAGACTCTCCAGCCAAATTACTAACAAAAAGTCAAAAGATATTGGAACATGGGGTGATAAATAACGTAAAGGATTTTTTTGAACATATCTTGTAGATAAGTTAGGGTCCGTTTGGATTTCAGTTGAGTATAATAGATTATAAAAATAATTAATTAAATGATAAATTTTAATCATAATTGATTATGTTATAACGCAATCTATTTGGATACTGTTTTTTTAAAATTGATTTTAACATAATTGAAGATGTTTGGATAATTTAATCAAAATTAATTTTAGCTATATAAATTACTATATAATTTAATTCTAAAATACTAAATATTAATTTTTTTTGAGAATACAAAGTTTGAATTTTATTAAGGAAAAAAAAACAGAGAAGAAAAGGGAGTTTGATTTTATTTTTATTAAATTATGTGCTTTGTTTATAATTTTTTTTGGACTTTTTTTTTGTATTTTTCTCCAACGGTTTTAGTTAGCTTCTCCGTAAACACTCGGCTTCTCAGCTTTAGAAGAAAATCAATTTTTTGCCCAAAAATTGATTAACCCATAAAATGAGTGTTTGGATAGTTTTAGCAGAAATTAATTTTTTGCCTCAAATAATCAATTAAAACGCTACCTAAATAGGCACTTAGTGGTAAGCGTTTGCAAGCCAGGCGATAAGGCCCCACACGACGTCGTGGTTCTGTTAGCGGTTCCCTGCTAGTTGCGGTAACTGAAGACGATGATTGGGAAATTTCAATCCGCCTGGCATCTGCAGCCATCTCAGCCATGTGTACTCAGTCAGCCTGCATCTCATCAAATCTAACCATTATTGTAATATCTTAACTTCAATTGAAACTCTTTAAATTAATAGTTTTAATTTTATAATAATTTAAATTAATATTTTTTATTTATTTTTTAAATTTTGTTGAGACCCAACTGTCATTATTCCAAGTTGTGGTGCCTAACTTTTATTTTTTCATTAAATTTTTAAAAAATAATTACATAATACTCCCTTTGATTTTATTTATAAATTATTTCTAATATGTTTCACTAGAACTAAGAAAAACCTTAAATTTTATTAACTTTATTTTAAAATCTAACAAGTTTTTACTTTTATCCCTAATAAATATTCTTAAATCTTATTATTGATGTTTTTATTCAAGTCATATAATAAGGGCAAAAATATAAAGAGGAGCATTGAAAATTGGCAAATATCCTATAAATAAGACATAATTTTTTTTCTCTTTTTATGCTCTATAAATAGAACCAATGGAGTAAGTGTTTGCCAAAAAAGGAAAAATATTGTTATGGACCTTATAAAGACATTAATGACAATTGTAAACTTTGTAAATGTTATAGAAGAATCATGGTCTTTATTTGTAATTAAAAATAAATAATTATTAAAATAACTAATGAAATATGACTCATAAATTTAAGTATAGTTAGTTGTGAATTTAAGTAATTTTACTTGTAAATCAATATATTACTTATGAATTTAAAGATAGTAACTACTCACTTGTGAAGTTTACAAAGGTTGCTAATGAATAGATAGTTTCATAAATTTATATATCACTTGTGATTTATAAATAGTTGATTAGTTGTGAATTTAAATAATGTCACTTGTGAATAAAACTGAGAATATAGGTTAAGTTATATGAATTGGTCCAACTAACCAGTTTTAAGAATTGGGCTGGGTTAGAAAAAAACTAACCCAAATAAAATGAGTTTTCTTTAGCTTGAACTAGATAACTCGTGAATCATACAGGCTAACTTTGATAGGTTAAAGTTGGCATTTTTAAACCATAGCATTTAATAAAAAAGGGTTGAGGCAGGCCACATGATTTTTGATAAATTGACCATGGATATGGCTTCACTTGGCTAGCTCAATTCATACATTTTGTACAAACATCATGGTTTAATATTTTAGTGTATGTAGAATGACTAATAAAGGAATATCATGTTCGAACTCATCAAATCATTTTGGTGTATTTTAATTTTAAACTAATGAACAAATAAATTTAAAAAAAATAAATGAGTTGACGGGTTAGCTCATTTTACTAACTAACTCTCAAAAGTTAGGTTAGGTTATGATTTTTCTAACTCATAAAAAAATGGGTTAAATTGAAATCAACTCATATTTTTTCGAACCCATATAGGCCAACTCATAGTTCAGATTGGTCCATATTTTCAGCTTTATTTGTGAATATATATAATGTCAATTGTGAATAGATATAAATAGTCTTAATTATAAATCAATAATCTAGGAACCTTATCATGTTTTAAAATATCCATTTATAATTTCCTTTTTCATAAGTTTGCAAGTAATTTTTTAAAAATTTATAAGTAGTTATTTTAAAATTTACAAGTGAGATGATGTATGTATTGATGAAATTATCTATCTATATACAATTGACTTTTTATATATTCACAAGTGATCTTTCTTAAATTCACAATATCAACTTAATTTCCTTAATCATGAGTGACATTCTATTATTATTTCAATAATTATAAATATTTTAATTACAAATAAAAAGACCATGGTCCCTTCTTTAACATTTCAAGATTTTGAGGTCTTCAATTTTCATTAATATCCTTATGGGTTCAAAACTATCATTCTCCCAAAAAATTAATTACATTATTGAAAATGACTGCAAATGTTTTTAATAAAAAACAATAGTTATATAGTTCCTTACAGAACCTTCTAAGCATTTAATTAAAATTAACTAGAAACTGCAAGTACCTAGATGGGTGAACAAATATTACTAAATCCGTCTGCTGTTAAATACAAATCAGCCTGTCACGTTTGGCCCAAAACCAAAAATAAAAAGAGGAAAACGATTGCTCAACGCTATGCAGATATGTCAGGCATGGTCATGGCCATGGCCAACAGGTCTACCAACTTTTCTATTTTTGCTCAACGCTGTGCAGATAGTACTTTTTTTATTTTATACTTGTTGTACTTTTATTCACTTTAACATCTGATAACATTAAATAATGTTAAAACCATATATTTTCATCATCGACACATTTATTTTATATACTAACTTCTAAATTTTTAATTTTAAATCTTATAGTATATTCTTTTACATAATAAAATAAGATTCAATAGATTACCTCATTTAAAAAAAACGTATTGTCTATTAATTTAAATTAAATCAAAAAATTAAAACATAAAATGAAAAAAAAAAAAACTCAAATGTTGCTGTTGCTGACTACATAGCAAGCATAATGTTGATGTGATAACCTCAGCCTCCATATATCAAACAAGATTACATTTCACTTTCATACACGTCATCACTAACATTTTGTTCAGGTCTTTTTAGGGAATTAATAAATTAATTATTAATTAGATTGTGGGTCCAAACTTCATTTTACGCTGATTTCATATTGACATATTTGATATATAGAATTGCACAGTACGTATACCCACACGTAGTTAGTTAAATTTAAATAGAACGAGTCTATCTTCAAAATTTTGAACGAAGCATGCTTAAAAATTATGACCTCTGGCATGGCTTGATTTTATATTGAAACGGACAAATTACAAAGCTGACATTTTGGAGCTTGAAATTGCAAGGTATTGATATATAAAGTATAGAAAATGTCAGCGGCAAGAGAAGGCCAGGTCCACTTTTTAATGCGTCAAGAGTCAAGATTCTCTTCTCTGACTTTGATCCTTCGTTCCTTCTTCCTTCTTCCTCTCAATATATATCACCCCTCGTCCTTCTCATTTTTCATCCAAAAATCTCAACCTCGATCTGCTCTAACACACCAAACAGAAAACTTTTCCAAATCATTCTCATGTCTTCTTTACAAACCCCTATTCTATCTTCTTCTTCTTCTTCTTCTATAAAGAGGGTTCATGCTGCTATCAGTGTCCCAAAACTCCCGCGAGTTCCTATCTCACTTCCAAAACTGCCTCCATCATCTACGAAACTGGTTCAGGAATTCAAAGCTTCCATACATACAATAATTCCAGCAGACAAAGATGCAATGTCCACCACACAAACGTTTCAGGATTCCTGTTATCCAAACAAGTCCAAGGCCACCATTCAACTGTATGCAATCTTAGAGGTTGTGGCTGACAGAGTTGAGATGCACAAAAATATTGGGGACCAACGAAACAATTGGAACTCTCTTCTTCTGAACTCTGTCAATATGATGACCCTCACTGCCACAACCATGGTTGGTCTCAACACTGCCATTGACAACACTGCTCTCAAATTATCCTCCACTCTCTTGTTCACTGCGGCCACGGGCATGCTTCTCATCATGAACAAGATTCAGCCCTCACAGCTTACCGAGGAACAGAGAAACGCAACTAGATTGTTCAAGCAGCTTCAGACTGAAATCCAAACCATATTAGCTCTTGGAAATCCTACTGAGGAAGATGTCAAGAGTGCCATGGAGAAGGTTTTGGCTCTTGACAAGGCTTACCCTCTTCCCCTCTTGGGAGCCATGCTTGAAAAATTCCCTTCAAAGTTTGAACCAGCTGTTTGGTGGCCTGAAACTAAAACTAATGAAGTCGTGAAATCCCAGGCCAAAATGAATAATGGATGGAGTGCAGAACTAGAAATGGAGATGAGGCAGATTGTTGAAGTGGCGAAGAGAAAAGACGTGGAGGACTACGAGAGGCTGGGAAACTTGGCTCTGAAGGTCAACAAAACCTTGGCCATATCAGGTCCTTTGCTCACTGGGATTGCAGCTTTAGGTTCTGCATTAGCGAGCCATGGCTCGTCTTGGCCAGGCATTGTGGCGGCCATGGCTGGGTCATTGGCGGCTTCCACGAATGCTTCGGAGCATGGAGGTCAAGTGGGGATGGTGTTTGAGATGTACAGAAACTGTGGTGGATTCTTCAGGTTGCTCCAAGACACCATTGAAACCACACTTGAAGAGAAAGACTGCGAGAAAAGGGAAAACGGCGAGCTTTTTGAAATGAAAGTGGCAATGAAATTGGGAAGAAGCGTTTCTCAGCTCAGACAACTTGCCACCAAATTTGCTGCCTATGACTCCGAAGGAATTGCCGTGGATGAGTTTGCTAGCAAGCTCTTCTGAGAGAATTAAGACTAATTATTTTTTTCATAATTCGTTGATTCAATTTAATTCTGTAAATTTTTGTATATATGAGGGGATTCTTTTATTCTTTATGCATGTAGTCTCTTGACTATTGACAAATAGTAAATATTCTTTTATTTACACGTTATACAGAATTTGTATTTATATGGAAGTTTTTATTATATATAAAACATTGAATTTTAATTTAAAATGAAATTTGAGATCTAAAGACTTCCTTTTTTGTCTTCTTTATTGCTTTCTTAAGGGACTTGAATTTTAGCATTTGCTCCGATTATTTTATATAAGTGTCAAAGTTTAAGTACTTGGGATATGGGTGATACAAAAATGAAGATAAAATTGATGAAAATCATGCATAAGATACAAATTGGATAGTTAAAATAGAGAAAGGCATCAAGAACCATTTGTGACGGTAAAGTACTTACCAATCTGATCTTAAAGGGAATGTTCACAGGATGCTATATAATAGTGAGATTATATATCAAAATGTTGAGATAGATATGAGGTAAAAAAAGAAAAAAGAAAAGACAAGACATGATTTGGTACTTACTCCTAATCCTGATTTGTTCAATGTTATAATGCATTTTTAACTCAATTATACTTCCTAATGGATTAATTAATCGTCTTTAAAATTATACACTCTTTCCATGTATAATTAATCTTATTTAATAGAGTGCTTTAATTGAAAACCTTATTAATTACACTCTTTAATTAATGGTATATAAAAATATCATTAATTACATCTTGAAAGACTTAAAATATCTTATATTTTGTTAATATTTTACCTTAAAAATGCCTAAAATATTTTTTGAATGAATGGAGTATATTTAATGTCAGATCATATCTTAAAATTGATTTTTTCTAATATAAAGATAGTTGTGTATAATAAAAGAAAGGACAAGACAAGATTTATACCATATTTAGTTTCACATTAAAAACCTCCAACATGCATGAAACCGAACACATCTTTCAAATGATTGTGCAAAGTAGACCAGTAAAGGTGCCCAAGAAAAGTTGATCAGACCAAGAAAGTATTAAAGGAGGTTATGAAAATGGGATCTCATGCCGAATGATATATTTGAATAGAGCCAACTATTAATCTAATAACATTAATTCACAATAATAATAATAATAATAATAATAATAATAATAATAATAATTTAAGTTAAAAATAAAAATATGAAATCAAAATCAATTAGGTTAAATGTGAATACTTTAAATCTTATTTAGAAAAAAAATTAAAAATAGAATATCTTAGATGGCCGCCAAATCTGAATCGATAGATTAAGAATCAATACCCATTGTATCTTTCCAAATAGAAATCGTGCCATAATGCAAGAATCATCACATATTAGGGAACCAAGTCAATTAAGATTTGAAGGTAAAAATTGGATAAGACATAACATATTTCAATTGTCAATTGGAGGGAGATGTACGTGAATGCATAAAATATATAGAAGATGATTAAAATGAAAACATGCATTAGGAGTTATCTGTGTCTACAAATTACTTACCCATCAAAAGAAAGTTTTACTGCATTCCTATGATAATGTTGGGTAATGGAAAAACAATAAGAACAAGAAATTATGATAGTAGATTTGAGAATATTAAGATATAAATATAAAATGAGATTTTATGATAAATGATATGTATCTGAACATTTTTCTTTGAATAGAGGCCAATTAATTAGTATCCTGCAAGAAAACGCTAAACTGTTAATGTAATTAACAACTATTAATTTACAGAAAAAAATAACTTTGAAGTTAAAAAATGAAACTTAAATAATCTAATAAGTTAAATGTGAAAACTTTAAATCTCATTTTAAAATTAAATAGAATGTATATCCTTTATCCTAAGATGGCCACCAAATCTAAATCCATAAATTAGAGAGCAATACGTACATTGTACCTTTACAAACAAAAATCGTGCCCCTTGCAATGAAAGGCTCGAAGAATCATCACAAAACAGGAAACCAAGTCAATTAAGATATAAGATTATTAAAAAGCAACATCAATATCAAAACTTGTTAATAAATTTAATAAAAGAAATTCCGCGATAAAAAGCCCCGAGTGTACCTATATATATGGAGGATCATTTGGGTTTGCAACACTCAAGTCACTCGCCCACCACCAGTTTCACCATCAAACTTGAAGCTATATATAAATCATGAAGCTTGGACCTCTTATCTCTCTATTAATTTTAGTTATCCTTTCTCTCTTTGGCATCCACGCTCAAGCGCAAGGTACGATGTAAATATAAACTTTTCTCTCTACTAGGCTTTGATATACACATACTCTTGAGTCTTATCTTTATTATAAGATATCTTTTAGAAGAGATTGATTGCCCTTAATATAAAATACTTAATGGTGTATTAATTATATTTTTTTAATATTATCCTACTCATTAACTATATAAGAGAAAATGTAATGAAAATTTGAAATTTTTTTCATTGAAATATGAGTAAAATTGAAAGTTTGTTCTTTTTTCAAATAAAGTTAATTACTCAACCATCTCTCTTTGATTTTAATGAAATGGTAAGTATCTTATAATAGAGACTAGAGGGAGTATATATTATAATGCACCCCTAGCCACCTCATCATTAGAATCGGGGAAAGATGGTTAGGTCATTAATTTCATTTGAAAAGAAAATGAATTTTTAATTTTATTATATTTAAATAAAAAAATTAAATTTGCATTACATTCCATTTCATAGTTAACGAATTTGAATAAAAATAATATTAAAGACCAATAATTTTTTCTCGAAGGTGACTTATAATAAAAATCAAAGAAAGAGAGTGTGTGTGTGTGATGAGTGAGTTTAATCTCTGGTGGAGAGCACTGTAACCCCATTTTTTCGAAAAAAAATTATAAAAAGAAAATTTTATGAAAATATATTTTAAAATAAAATTAAAATATGTCTTATTATAACTTAAAAAAATATTTTTAATAATATATTTTTGTAAACGGCATATTAATGAGGTTTTATCACTATATATTTTGGTTTAATGGTTCATTGGTTCACTGTTGTTCTACAATATATTTGGGATGTTAACAATTTTTTTTGCATAAAAAATGTTAATTATTTTTATACCCTACCCACTAAAATCATCCTCAGTGCACCAATGAAAAAAATATAGTTACATATTTTTTTATGTTTTAGCAATAAATTTATAATTATTTAGACAATTATGTTTTATGCCTTCTAAATACTATTTTTTGTACTATAATTATCAACTTTAATATTTATTCAATATTCATCTTTTAATAATTTTTAATATTCCTGTCTTAATTTTCCAATGCATTGCACATGTATAAAATCTACTTCTTAAGTACTGATTGATTAATAGTAGCTTCGATTTGAATTATGAAAATGTGTTTAGGAGGTGGCAAGTTGTGTCCAAAGGAGATGACGTTGGATGGGTCATGTGGAGGCACCAGTGGAGGCTTCAACTGTGCAATTGAATTCCTGGGAAAGTATGGAGCAAGTGCCATGCCACAGCACTGCACTTGCACTGACCTTAATCAACAACGTCTCTGCAAATGTGACATTGTTTGTCAATGATCAACAATCCTATGTTATAATCATCATATATATATGTGTGTATTCCAATAAAACACATCAAACATTGGCCTATGTTTAATAATAAGGAACCATATATGTTGGTTATTATTAATATGATAGAATAAAAGAGTTGGTTCTTTCTAACATGAGAAATTAATTTTTGAATTCACCCTAGAAGAAGCATTGTCTATGTTTATGGAATTTTTACTACATGAGAAGTTTTTTTTTTGAGAGAGAAATGTATCTAGAAAAAAATGTGATAGATAAACTTCCCATTTATTTTTTAGAAAATTTTTTTCTATCATTACAAAAAAATGACTTTTGGTGATGACTTTTAGCAGTAACAATTAGAAGTCGACAATAAAAGTAGACCTTTGGCTAAAAGTCATCACCAAAAGTTAATTTTTAGCAATGACATTTAATTGTTTTCACCAAAGGCCCTTTTTTAGCAGCAATATTTAATTGTTGTCACTAAAAATCACTTTTAACATCAACAAATCTTCACTGTCAAAAGTATTTTCATAAAAAAATTTAAAAATAAAAAATTATGTGATTACTTTTTAGTGGTGACAAATTGTCGCCATCAAAAGTGTTTTCATAAAAAGTAATTAAAAAATAAAAAATATTTTTTGTAATGGCTTGTTGTCAAAAGTATTTTCATAAAAAAATAAAAAATAATTTATCTAATTACTTTTAGCAGCCATAAACCCTAGCCGCCAAAAGCATTTTTATAAAAAAATAATTAAAAAATTAAAAATAATTTATGTAATTTGTCACAATTAAAAGCATTTTCATAAAAAATTAATTAAAAAATTAAAAATAATTTATATGATTGCTTTTAGTGGCTACAAACAGTCACCACCAAAAGTATTTTTATAAAAAAATAATTAAAAAATTAAAAATAATTTATATAATTACTTTTCACAGTTACAGTTTGTCACCACCAAAAGTATTTTCATAAAAAATAATTTAAAAACTAAAAAATATTTTATAAATACTTTTCGTGGCAAAATTTGTTGCCACTAAAGCTATTTATATATAGAATGAGAAATAAATAACATTAAAATGTTAAAGTTATACATAAACATTAAAATGTTAAAGCTATATAGTTGTTGTAAGATGTATATGGCATTGCAAATTACTTAACACATTATGCACTTGATACTTGATTTGATATACAAATGGTGCCTATTTCATTTGTTAAGCTTTATTTTTCACTACCACAGAATTATTTAAATAGGATGCCCCATATTTAATGGTTATTTAAAATAAGCAATAAATAAAATAGGTTGAGAATACTTGATGGTATTTTAAATTATGGATAAAATTAAGTATAAACTTATTAAAGTTTGTTTATTTTAAATTGTAAAGTTATTAGAAAGTATTCCCTATTAACCTTAGGTTGACTCTGTTAAAGATATTTTAATGAAAGTTTAACCTAATTTAAATCAAGTCAAGATAAGATTCCTTCTAGTTTAATTATAAAATATTCACTTAGATTTTTAACTAGGAGTTTTTTATGTTTAGCATCTATTTTGAGTTATCACATGTCAACCCATTTCCTATCTCAAAGATAATAAAGAATAATTGTCCAAAATGACTATTAACAAAATTTATATGATTAAAATAAATTTTTCATTAAAATATTTTTAAGATAATTGAAAAATTATAGATAAAATTTATTTTTAATAAAAGAAGGGGAAGTATTTAACTTGGGAGAAGATAAACGTTTGATAAATTATTTATTAATTTTTGAGAAAAAATATGAAAAAAAAGTGAAATATATTTAACATAAACTAATATAATACATACTTATAGATAAATTATATTCTTAATTATTTTCATTTAAAATTTAAAAATTGGTAAAAATGTTTATAAGAAAATTATTTAATATTTAAAAATTATTTCATTTTAAGTTCATTTTCCTAAAAATATAATATATATACACATTCATAGAAATTATTTTAACATTTTAATAAATGAAAATAAAATAAAATATATATGTATATTTTTTTAATAATATATTATTTGATATATGTGTATGTAATTAAATAATATATATTTAATTTTGCATATAATAATTACAGGTGCATTTTAACTCAACTAACAACAAAAAAAGACTTAAGGCTTGGGAGGTGAAAATCAAGGGTTTAAATTCTAGCTTAAGCATATTTCACAATAAATATGTGACGTGGCGCACACACGGTAAGGGGAGGCACACACGTGGCAAGTGATGTGACATAAGGTGTTAGATGATGTAGCACAAGAAAGCGTTAGTGTGGCATGTGATGGCCTTGTTTTTTTTAAAAAAATTATCTTTTGGTGGTGACAAAAAGTCATTGCTAAAGTTTTTTAGCGGTAACTTTTCACTGCCAAAGGATCACCATAAAAAATGTTGTCGCTTTGGCAGCGATAAATATAGTCACTGCCAAAAGTGTATCTCTGGCAGCGACAGCGACAACTTTTGAATTTTTGACGGTGATAAAAGTCATATTTTTTATAATGTATCTACTAAATGATTACTTCTAACAAAACCCATTCACATTAAATACATGAACATTGGTTTATATTAAAGTGTGAATTAAGACAATGTTTTGAAATATGCATGAATAAAAGTTATTCAGAAAGAAAATGGGATGGTATACATTTTTCATTACTTTTCTAGTATTGTTCCATCTATCAAACATTCTATGTATTTAGAGAATCTGGCTGTTAAGTAGTTAAGTTTTTCATGGCAAGTGGAATGAAGATCTAAGAATGAAATATATATTAAGGCATCTATATGAGTGACTTTTAATTGACTCCTAGAAATCTTGATTCTTAAATAATTGTTCGATGTACCTATTCATCGTGCACCCCGAATAATTATAATTATTCATCTAATAAAAACCTCATATTGAAACTCGAATTAACCGTATTCGATTCAAGCCACCTAGGGGTGTTCACGGGACGGGACGAGACCGGGACACCCCCGTCCCGTGTCCCGTCCCGAAAAAAAAATCGGAACTGAATTTTGGTCCCGTGTTCCGTCCCGTCCCATTAAGAGTCGGGACGAGACCGAGACAAGATCGGGACGTCCCGCCGTTCCGATAAATGAAATAATATCGAAAAAAGATCTGGATAATAATGTTCATTAAAATTTTAAATTATATAATTTATTAAGTTTAAAATCAAAATAACACAAGTACATAAATAACAATAATTTAAAATCAATTATTGAATTATTTTAATCACAACTACATATTATAATAAAAAATACAAGTGATCTTTATGCTATAAAATTAGCAACAACAGGCAAGTCAAATACAACATTAAATCATTATTCTTCTACTTTAGTGAAGATATACTAAGCTAATTACTCTTCTAAAAATAAGCAAGAAGTATGTTATAAATAAAAGTTATTAAATAGATAGATATAAGAATAAATTATATTAATATAATTAATATATTATAAAAAAGATATCGCCATGTTTACTCCATACCATTAAAATTATCAATATAAAAATACTTTAGTTTTAAATAAGAATTGTAAGTATTAAAATTATAATTGATATAATTAATATAAGTATAAATTATATTAATATAATTAATATATTTAAAATAAAAAATAATATATATAATATTCGGGACGGGACGGGACGTCCCGATGGTAATCCCGTGTCCCGTCCCGTCCCGAACTCTTTTCCTGTCCCGTCCCGTAAAGTCCCGTCTCGATTATTTTCAGGCCGGGACAAGACCCGTCCCGATATGATCAGGACGATATCGAGCCAATCGAGACGGGTCCAGATTGAACACCCCTAAAGCCACCAATTAATCAGCTCACTTGTATAATGGCTATGCATTTGATGGGTTGACCCAGCTCACCAAAAAAAAGGGGGGGGGGGATTTGAGCAGTTATAATAAGTTTATAGCCTACCATCCACCTTAAGCCCCTTTGAATTTATTTTGGAACAATGTAGATGGCTGACCTAATTTCTAGGTCAGCTCTTGGACCATCTTCTTTGAATTATTTTTAATAATAAATAAATATTCTCATAATTAGATGTATGTTTAAAGTCCCAAGCGTGGAATGCTAGAGTGTAGAAAAATATCCACTCACTACACATCTATTAAAAAAAATTCGATAAAAGAGTCATGTAAATCAGACCTGCCTTTTATAAATATTATTTTATTTGAATATTATTTAAATGAAATTTGTTCTTCTTCAAATCCAAAAAATAAATTTTAAATTTAAATAAGAGATTTTGGAAAAAATAATGCATGAAATCATGAGATAAAATTTATAGTCCATATTAATGCAAAAGCAATCAAATACATCAGCTATAAAATTAAGCCTCCGTATAGCCTCGGGTTTGAAGTTTGAACTATAGGGACTTTTTCAGAATGAAAGGTATGAGTCAAATGTAAGGCCTGGTCCATTATTCAATGCGTCGATGGTCAACAACATCCTGATATGACTCATTCGCCTTCCATTTTTGGTTCCTTGTTCTGTCTCCTATAAATATCACAACCCAGCCTCTCAGCCCCATCCTCATTCTCAACCTTCCAAACTCAAGCAAAGCCAACTAGAAAATCCATTTCAGTTAAATCAATCTCAATGTCTTCTTTACGAATCTTATCAGCCTCATTTTGTTCTACCTCCCCCTTCTTGTTCGTCTTTAAAGAGAGTCAACGCCGCCATCCACGTCCCCAAGCTCCCATCAGTTCCTTTCTCGCTTCCAAAAATACCCCCAACAACAGCCAAGCTGATTCAGGAACTCAATGGATCCATACACACAGTAATTCCATCAGACAATAAAGATGCTACAACCACTCAAACCTATGTTGATTTGTGCCAACCCAGCAAGTCCAAGGCTACAATTCAACTGTATGCAATCTTAGAGGCTGTGGCTGACAGAGTTGAAATGCATAGAAACATTGGCGAGCAGCGCAACAACTGGAATTCCCTACTTCTGAATTCAATCAATGCGATGACCCTCGCCGCCACAACCATGATTGGTCTCACCACTACTATTGACGACACAACCGCACCAACGTTAGCACTCAAATTGTCGTCTACCCTTTTGTTATCTGCGGCCACAGGGTTGCTTCTCATCATGAGCAAGATTCAGCCCTCACAGCTTACCGAAGAACAACGAAATGCCACTAGGTTGTTCAAGCAGCTTCAGACTGAAATCCAAACCACATTAGCTGTTGGAAATCCTACTGAGGAAGACGTCAAGATTGCAATGGATAAGGTTTTGGCTCTTGACAAGGCTTATCCTCTTCCACTCTTGGGAACCATGCTTGAAAAATTCCCTTCCAAATTCGAGCCTGCTGTCTGGTGGCCTAAATCTAAAACTAACGATGTCGTCAAATCCCACACCAAAACGAATAATGGATGGAGTCCGGAACTGGAAACGGAAATGAGGCAGATTCTTGAGGTGATGAACAGAAAAGACATGGAGGACTACGAGAGGCTAGGAAACTTGGCTCTCAAGGTCAACAAAACCTTGGCCGTATCAGGTCCTTTGCTCACTGGGATTGCAGCTTTAGGTTCTGCTTTAGCGAGCCATGGCTCGTCCTGGCCAGGCATTGTGGCGGCCATGGCTGGGTCCTTGGCGGCTTCTGTGAATGCTTTGGAGCACGGTGGCCAAGTGGGGATGGTGATTGAGATGTACAGAAACTGTGGTGGATTCTTCAAGTTGCTACAAGACACCATTGATAAAACGCTTGAAGTGAAAGACTGCGCGAAAAGAGAGAATGGCGAGCTTTTTGAAATAAAGGTGGCGATGAAATTGGGAAGAAGCGTTTCGCAGCTCAGACAGCTTGCCTCCAAATCCGCTGCCTATGAGTCTGAAGGAATTGCTATGGATGAATTTGCTAGCAAGCTCTTCTAAGAAGACTTATTTTTTTCATTATTTGATGTATTCAACTTTATCCTATTGGATAAAAACATTATTTTATTCTTTATTGTATTATAGCTAGTCATCTAACTTAGGAATTTGACAAAGAAGAAAGAATTTGTATAAATCAATCTTCATGATATAGTCATTCAACCATTTTATTGTCCCACAATCTTGTTTTCATACAAAATGAATTACCAGTTCTTGCATGTAAAATGGTTCCAATTGTAGAAACAGCGTCGGAGACAATCTCATTTTTGTCATAGTTCGTTGTTGAGTTAGTTTTTTATTTTTTTGATGTAAAAGTCAATAAAAAATATTTACAATAAAATGAAAACTAAACTAAATATTAAAAGTCACAAAGAGCCTAGATTAATTGGATTCCGTTTATTTAGTTTAATTCTCTCAGTTTTTGTATACAAGGATTATTTTATTCTTTATGTGTAGCCTCTTGACATATTGTAAAGTTCTTATATTTAGACGTTATATGGAAATTTTTTTATTTTGATTATAAAACCTGTCATATTTATTTAAATTGAATTTTGAAGTCTAAAAATATTACCAACATTGACTTCCCCCATTCCTAAATGTAAGAGTCAGTTAGAAAGGTTGTTTTGGTTACAGCAGTAAGATATTAATTTCTCCGTCTCTCATTTATTATTTTTTCCAAACTACGCCAATTAATTGCATACATTAATTAACTTAATGTGTGCAATAAGTATACTAGTTTTCAATTTAAAAGATTAAAATGAGGATATTTTAGAAAAATCAACATGCATGTTTAAATGAATAATAAATAAATAATTTACCTAATTTTTTAATTTATATGAATTTGTTCGCAATCTCCTATAGTTATTATCCGGACGGAATAATAAATAATATTATATTGCATCTGTAAGATAACATAATAATATATTCCATCCAGCTCCTATTATAATGCACTTTTTTAAAATGATAGATGATTCTTATATTATGAATTATTTGACGGGATATTAATTAAGTTTTTTTAATACTACCCTTATTTAAAGTCATTAATTATGAAAAACAATATAATGCAAATATGTATATGTAAAAATTTTCCATTTAGATATGATAAAATAAGACATTTATTCTATTTTCAAAGAAAATTAATGATACAATCACATTACTGGTCATCAGGTGGTTAGATGTGCCTTAAAATTTTTAATGCATGTAGCACTTAATAAGTTGGTTCATGAATGAATGGCTAAGATAACATAAGATGTTTGATAAAAAGTCAAAAGAAGGTTGTTTGAATCTTGAAGGGTACTTTCTCTGTTTTTATTTATAGAAAAAATTATCAATTTTAATTTACTTTTTATATAAACAAAATCACATTTTTAATAGGTATTTATTACAAATTTTTTAAATTATTTCTCATAATTTTATCATTTATAGTCATAAAAAATAATTAATGAAGGCTTGATTAACACATTTAATGAAGGGTATTGTAGTCAAATTTTTTTATTTTCAAACACAATTAATATAGTTAATATATTTTCTTAACTTATGTGATACATATTTTTTTCTCTTATAAATAAAAACAAAAGGAGTAGTAATAAATGCCAACAAAAATATATTAACATTTAATCATCTTCCAATGCAGCGTACCTGCATGTGTGTGTATAAATATACACAACCATCAAACTTGAGATCAGCAAGTTTATATTTAGAAGAACATAAATCAATACAATCATGAAGCTTGGAACTATTTTCTCTCTATTTTTAATTCTGCTTCTCTTTAGCCTCCACGCTCAAGCTCAAGGTACGACACATGCACATACACACGTACAAAGTGATTTTTTTAAATTTCTGACTAATTATTTGATTAATTAATGCAATTAGGTGGTGGCAAGTTGTGTCCCGAGGAGATGACTTTAGATGGAACGTGTGGGGCGAGAAGAGGGCACGACTGTGCAATTGAGTTCATGGCCAAGTACGGAGCAAGAGCCATGCCACAGCACTGCGCTTGCACTTATCTTACTATGTGTTTAATTTTTTATTTATCAAAAGTTAATTTAATAAAAATTAATTTGATAAAAATCAGTTGTTGTAATGAAATTTATATTTGAATAAATTTTTTTAAAAATCAATTTGATAAACTGAAAGTTATTTGAATTAATAAAAATTTATACTTTTAAAATATACTTTTGAACATATAATGACTAAAAAAGATATTGATTTATGATAATTTATAATTGGACACATTTTATTGAAATTAAATATTTTAAATTTGAAAACTTAATTTCTTAACACATTTTATTACTTGGATAATTTTTGTTCTCATTTTTAAGACTTTAGTTTATTCAATTAGATTAATTTAGCTTTCTTGTGTTTTTAAGAAATTGGAGGGCCAATTTTGTAATTGGCTCATTTTATTTAAATTAATTTTTTGACTATTCAAAAGAAATGAGTGACAGAACACCAGATGAGAGCAGAGCACAGAGAAGAGAGAATGAAAGGTGAGTTCTAACAACAAAATGCAAACTAGTTCAGGCAAAAGGAAAAGACAAACATGAAGCCAGTGGTATCATGATCATTTTAAATAATAGGTATCACATCTTTCCTCAAGTGACTTTTTAAAAGCTACAAATATTAGCTTTCAAATTTTGCCATTCAGCCCGATCTGAAAAACACATTTAAAAAGTTAGTTTTACACCATAAATAATACCCAAACACCATTTAATTTTCTCAAAATAAAAAATAACTTTTTAAATGTGAAAAGCAGCTTTCCCAAACGCACTCTTAATCAACAACGTCTCTGCAAATGTGACATTGTTTGTCCTTCACCATTATAATTAAACACATGTAACTAACTTTGGCTTATGGTTAATGTAGTAATTAACTAGCAAACTTAATTAATTACTACAACTGCTTAAGGTTATATATTTTGATTAAACTTAATCAAGTTATTGTTTGATCGCCTTCTTCTTCCTTGCATCCTATTCAAACGCCTTTTATTTTCATGGACTCAGCTGGCTATTTCAACGGTGCTCTCCGCCAGCAACCTCATAACAAGTACAAGAAGAAATCTGGCATTCGTGTTTTTATTCTATTTTTATTTGTTTGTGCTTTTAAGTAGGTTTATGAGATATTTTTCAGAACAAGTCTTGGGTAATAATAAATTAAAAATCAATTTGAATGATTTAAATTGAAAAAGATGAATATCTCTTGCTAAAAAAAAATCTGTGTGATTATATATTATTATATATAAAGAAGTCAGATGAACACTTTGAAAAATGCCAAATAATTTTCAACATGGCAACTAATATTATAAAGGATGTGAAAGTCTGCTACAACTTTTCCTTCATCCCCTCGCAAATAACAGTTCGCAAAAATTTTATAAAATAAAGGAGAGAAACATAATAATTGCTGTAAGAGAATGCACTAACTTCTTCTTTTTTTTAGTAGAAGGTCATATATTATAAATATTAAAAGGATATCAAATCAAATATACAATAACAAGTAACATTTGAATTTTTATATATATATTTAAGGAAAAATTAATCTGCCTTCCTTATAATTTTCGTCAATTTTGAATATTCAATTTTGTCCTGCAAACATAATTAACTTGAATAAAAAGAACACTTATGCTCAAAAAAAAAAAAATTACGCCAAACGTATCATGAAAATTAGGGTATATAATATATAAGGAATTTTAAAACTGAAAGGCATAACCGTATAAGCAGTAAGGCAAGGAAATGGTCGCAAGAAAGGCCTGGTCCACTATTCAATGCGTCGAATGGTCAATATTTTCCTGACACGACCCATTCTTCTTCCATTTTGGTTCCTTGTTAAGTCCGCTATAAATACCAGAACGGCAACCCAGTCTCTCACCCCCATCCAAATTCTCAACCTTCCAAACTCAAGCAAAGCCAACTAGAAAATCCATTTCAGTTATATCAATCTCAATGTCTTCTTTACGAATCTTATCAGCCTCCTTCTGTTCTACCTCCTCATCCTCTTGTTCGTCTTTAAAGAGAGTCAACGCCGCCATTCACGTCCCCAAGCTCCCATCAGTTCCTTTCTCGCTTCCAAAAATACCCCCAACAACAGCCAAGCTGATTCAGGAACTCAATGGATCCATACACACAATACTTCCATCAGACAATAAAGATGCTACAACCACTCAAACCTATGTTGATTTGTGCCAATCCAGCAAGTCCAAGGCTACAATTCAACTGTATGCAATCTTAGAGGCTGTGGCTGACAGAGTTGAAATGCATAGAAACATTGGCGAGCAACGCAACAACTGGAATTCCCTTCTTCTGAATTCCATCAATATGATGACTCTCGCCGCCACAACGATAGTTGGCGTCACCGCCGCCATTGACGACACTGCACCGATTTTGGCTCTCAAATTATCGTCTACCCTTTTGTTCTCTGCGGCCACTGGGATGCTTCTCATTATGAACAAGATTCAGCCCTCACAGCTCACTGAGGAACAACGAAATGCGACTAGATTGTTCAAGCAGCTTCAGACTGAAATCCAAACCACATTAGCTGTTGGAAATCCTACCGAGGAAGATGTCAAGATTGCAATGGAGAAGGTTTTGGCACTTGACAAGGCTTACCCACTTCCTCTCTTGGGAGCTATGCTTGAAAAATTCCCTGCAAAGTTCGAGCCTGCTGTCTGGTGGCCTCAAACTAAGACTAATCAGTTCCAAAGGCAAGTCGTGAAATCCCAGACCAAAATGAATAATGGATGGAGTCCAGAACTAGAAATGGAGATGGGGCAGATTCTTGAGGTGGTGAAGGGAAAAGACATGGAGGACTACGAGAGGCTAGGAAACTTGGCTCTCAAGGTCAACAAAACCTTGGCAGTATCAGGTCCTCTGCTCACTGGGATTGCAGCTTTAGGTTCTGCTTTAGTGAGCCATGGCTCGTCCTGGCCAGGCATTGTGGCGGCCATGGCTGGGTCGTTGGCGGCTTCAATGAATGCATTGGAACATGGAGGTCAAGTGGGAATGGTGTTTGAGATGTACAGAAACTGTGGTGGATTCTTCAAGTTGCTACAAGACACCATTGAAACCACACTTGAGAAAGACTACGAGAAAAGAGAGAATGGCGAGATTTTTGAGATAAAAATGGCGATGAAATTGGGAAGAAGCGTTTCGCAGCTCAGACAACTTGCCTCCAAATCTGCTACCTACG